TTTCTTTCTTTCTTTCTTTCTTTCTTTCTTTCTTTCTTTCTTTCTTTCTTTCTTTCTTTCTTTCTTTCTTTCTTTCTTTCTCTTGTCTGTCATGGTGTCTGAACTCTGGGCCTGGGCACTGTCCCTCAGCTTTTCTGTTTATGTGGTGCTGAAGAATCAAACCCAGGGCTTCATGCATGGAAGGCAAGCAAGCACTCTACCACTGAGCCACCTTCCCAGCCCATGCTCTGTTTCCAATTTCACTTTTTTTGGGGGGAGGGGGTGAGGTCATCACAAATTAAGTTAAATTTTTGGTTGATACATCACCTAAAAAGTATATTCACCTTTGTTTTCCTAGTTATCATGTCATTGTATCATTGTCTCATTGTTTATATTTCATATTTATGAAAACTCAAAAATAAGTGGTATGTTTTTCTCCTTTCTCTTAATCTCTTTCAGCTCCTTCTTACAACTCAGTTTCCTTTTAAAATAAGTGAAAAAGTGTTACAGGTTCTGACCAACATCTTTTTGTATCATGATTTCTCAATTCAAAATTTTATAAAAGGACTTCAGGTAAGAGTTTGAAAATTCACAAGCTGGTTCAAATAGTTTGTATGTTATTTCAGACTATGTGATAATTAAAACATATTTAGTGGCAAAATATAGAATAAGTACGTTCAGGTTTTTTTTCTAAGTTCTTTCAGACTATGTGATAATTAAAACATATTTAGTGGCAAAATATAGAATAAGTACATTCAGGTTTTTTTTTCTAAGTTCTACCATCATTCCTTTGTTGCCATGCAGCCAAATATAGAAAATGCATTAATTATCAATAATGGAAAAAGTTCTTTTCATACCAACCTATGGAATGTCAGGAGAAAAGAGTGTTTTGATGAAAACTTACCAGGACTTTTTACCTAAGAAATGTCCTATGTAAAGCAAACTTCTTTCATAATGGGCCAGAGAGTACACACTGTCATTATGCTTTTTTTTTTTTTTTGTCGGGCATGGGGCCTGAACTGTCCCTTAGCTCTTCAGTTCAAAGCTAGTGCTCTACCACTTGAGTCACAGCGCCCCTTCTGGCTTTTTCTGCTTGTGTGGTACTGACAAATCAACCGATACATGGGCCTCAGGTATGCAAGGCAAAGTACTCAATCACTGAGCCACCTTCCCAGCCCCCTGCTGCTTCTTTCATTATGCTTTAAAGATCTGAACACATTTTTAGTTCCTGCATCATACAAAAATAGTAGTTAAATGTCAGTTTGCATACATGTGAATTCATTTACGTTTAATCTTATATATTAATGCATTGTCATTAAGGTTTCATGAATTGCTAAGAGCTAATTCTTAAATTAGGCTTCATAATATTTGCTCTAACTTTAAAAAACCACATTCTTTCGTGGTTTAGAAGTGAATGTGCATTTCTTATTTTGGCAAATACTACATTATCTTTTATTTTAGTTATTTATTTATATATAATTTATTTATTTTTTGGTCAGTTGTAGGGCCTGAACTCTGGGCCTAGGCGCTGTCCCTTAGCTCTTCAGCTCAACGCTAGCACTCTACCACTTGAGCCACAGCTCCACTTCTAGTTTTCTAGTTGTTTATTGGAGGTAAGTGTCTTACCGACTTTCCTGCCTGAGCTGGCTTTGAACCACAATCCTCAGATCTCAACCTCCTAAGTAGCTAGGATTACAAGTGTGAGCCACCAGTGCTCAGCTCCAACACTGACTTTTTAAAGAATGTTTTAAACCTTGAAAACCCTATTTGCCCTAGGAATGTATGAGATTAAGTGATATTGAGATACAATAATCTCCTAAATTTCTTCTAATTCATTTTCTCATCTGCTACTCATAAATATTTATCAAGAACTAACATCAAAGCAAGCACTATGCTGAGCCCTTGATATAGAAAGTAAAAAGAAATCGCCTTCAAATTGCTCACTGTATAGCAAACAAGGAAGAAGAAGAAATGCACATTAAGAGTTAGGAGAGAGGCCTGGGAAGGTGGCTCAATGGTAGAGTGCTTACCTCGCATGCATGAGGCCCTGGGTTCAATTCCTCAGCACCACACAAGTAAAAAAAAGCCAGAAGTGGCGTTGTGGCTCTAGTAGTAGAGTGCTAGCCTTGAGCTGAAGAACTGTGGGACAGCGCCCAGGCCCAGAGTTCAGGTCCCATAATCAACAAAAAAAAAAAAAAAAGAAAGAAAGAAAAAAATAAGTTTGGAGAGTATCACAATGGCTAAATAACTATGTGCATATGACCATATAAAATGATGCTTATCAAAATGAACTACAAGAAATGGAAAGAGTATTTTTTTATTGTACTGTTTGCAGTTAATTCTTTTTCTTTTTTCCTGTGCTTTATTCCCTTTTTGTCAATTGCTTTTGATTTCTGTATCCTCTGTTTTATATAGGTTTATCTGATTTGGGGAGGGGATGGGGAATCACAGAAACAGTGGGACAAAGGGTGAACCAGTGAACTACAACCTGGAAAGGGGGGAGGGATGGAAGGGGGAAGGTGTTGAGGTGTTCAGGGAAAAAAGTGGGAGAAAATGAGAGAGGGGGTGGAAATATACTCATTATCTGACATGTAACTAACCCCTTTGTAGTACATCACCTTTACAATAAAATTTAAATTTTTAAAAAAAGTTATACAGAGCTACAAAAGAAACATCTTAGAACTTTATTAGAGAATACAAGTATATCCTAATGAATAGGAACCATCCAGGTCAAAATGAAAGAGTAATTACAAGCAAAACAACAAACAGTAAAGGAAAGGAGCTCTGTTAAAGAACTAATGTAGAAAAGAAATAAGAGGCAAACAGACTTGAAATGTCTCATGAACATTTTTGCCTGGTTATACCGTGAACCATCGTGTCCTAATTTCTGCCTCCCAAGTATCCAAGATTACTGGAATGAGCCATTGCATTCAGCTAGGTATAATACTATCTTCTTTTTAGGAATGTGGGATCAGAAACAGGGTCTTTACAGGGTCTTGAGCTTCTGATTCTTCTGCCTCAAGTGAGGCTTTGGATTGGTATCTTTTTTATAAATAGTGGGGTATCAGATCTTTAGATCATATATACCCCAGTCCCATCCATACTACATTTACAATCATCGGAATTGCTTCTTCAGGTAACCTACCCATTTTTATTAGTTTTTGTTTAGCTTGTATTTTCTGAGATTACCATTTTTCTAACCTTGTCCATAAAACTGTGGCCTTAAAAATACTAGGAATATATAGCTCTTTATATGTTGGCTGCATTATTATTATGACACTGTGATATCAGTGCCATAAATATATTAGCTCTCAAAAGAAACCTTAAGATTAAGCAGATAGAGGACAAAAGATTTATTACATATATATGACACAAATTAATGTATATCTCACTTTCACATTTCTTTCAGCTTTCTCTATTAGAGCATTTTTATTCCCAGCCCCTAAGTGTTCTGTGCTGCAGTCTCCCTGAAGCCAAGAAAAGAATAAATTTTTTATCAGTTAATCAATGTGAAGACATTCGACGTCTTCCATCATTTAGGAGGTAAAAAGAGAAGTACATTTTTAATTTATACCAGAGACTGAGACAAAATAGAGGATTTTTAATCTAGTTAGTTTGGAGTAAGGAATAGAATAATAGTTTTGTTTTAATTAGAGCAGTATAAAATGATGGTTTTTAATGATGGGATTCCTTTGTTGAATTGGAAGATTTGGCTTAAAGAAAAAATATTTATTTGTGTATTTATATTTGCTGGTTCTGGGGTTTGAACTCTGGGCCTAGGCACTGTTCCTCAATGCCAGCACTCTACCACATGAGCCACAGCACTACTTCCAGCTTTTTCTGTGATTAATTGGAGATAAGAATCTCATGGACTTTCCTGCCCAACCTGGTTTCAAACCATAATCCTTGGATTGCAGCCTCTTGAGTAGCTAGGATTATAGGCGTTAGCCACTGGCACCTGGCAAAAAAAAAGTAATATTTTTATTTTTTTGGTCCCAGTCCTGGGACTTGACCTCGAGGCCTGGGGCTTTGTCCCTGAGCTTTTTTTGTTCATATTTAGTTTACCACTTGAACTACACAGCTCTACTGGAGATAAGTCCTGAGTTGGCTTCAAACCATGATCGTCAGATCTCAGCCTTCTGAGTAGTTAGAATTACAGGCACCCAGCAAGAAAAGTATTTTTTACAAAGTGATATGGTTCACAAGTTCCCCAGAGTAACTTTTTAGAAACAGAATTTATATTTCTAGTGTTTATTGTTTTATTATCAGACTATTAAGTGTAGGTGATTTAATTAAAAATTGTCATTAAACCATGACTACCACCTTAAATTTATTTTTGAGAAGAAATGTAAAAATGTGGCCACCAAGTAAGAATTTTAAGTAACTTTTTCCCACTGTGCTACCCAATCATGTAGAATGTTTAATTTTCTCTTTTTTGGTACCGGATATAAAAAATTCTAGGTATGTGGAAAAGCAAGCTTCAGAAAAGCAAGTTGCACTTTTGACCAGTGAGAGAATTTTGAAGGTAAGAATGTAAATGTGTTTTGGTTTCAATCTCCTCTTCGTTCTTTCATGAAAAAGAGTGTACACAGACATTCATTGTTAAATTTATATAATCACATATCCTAATATTTACACAGTGAATATTGAATCTTGATGGCCAATTAGGAATGCAAATATTAATGATGACACAAAAACTCAACTCTTAAAGCCAAAACTTTACTTATCAAGAAAAAATAATTTCTCTTAGGGGCTGTTTTCCAAATATATTTGTATTTGACTTTCTAAATATCTTTTCGCATAGCACATTTGAAATGTGTAGATAATCTTATCTTAGTGGTCATTTAAAGGCTGTAATAAATAAAAGCATGTAGAAGCCAGGTAGCTCGGCACCTACTGCCAAGTAGGTGCTGATTTTATTTGAATATTCATTGTTAATATATTGATAATGTGAGTGCCAGGAAAGTGATGAGGCTAAAAAGTTAGGACTGAGCCGTATAACCTTAGGATTAACAAAAGCAACTTTTTTCCCCCTCTTGAGTAAATGAATTGTATGTGGACATGAATTAGATGGTAATTAAAAAAAACAAATTGAATTACCTTTATCTTCCAGCTCTTGTTTCCCTTCTTGATAGCCAGTATTTCCAGTTTCTTATGTAACATTCTAGAATTACTCTCCATATTTACCAGTAATTGTATATATTTGAGGGCTTCCCTCTTCTGAAAGAAGATAAATATAATATAACACCATTCTGTACCTTGTTTTATTTTACATTTATTCTTGGATGCCATTCTACAATAGTACCAAAAGTGTGGCCTAGTTTCCTGTTCAATGAATGTACCTTCATTTTATTTAATGAGTCTTTTGCTGGTAGGCATTTTGAAGCATGTAATGTCTCATGTATTGTTATACCCTAACTTAAACCTGTTTAAGAAAAAAAGCTATTAGAAAACATAAGATGAGCTTATAAGTAAGCCTGGTGCTTGAGCGTGTGTTTTGTGACATACTGTTTCCATATTTTGAATAAAAGAATGTTAGATCCTAGAGAGCATATTCTCAGCATATTTTTAAATATGAATTTACCTACATTCTAAAATCTTAAAACATCTTAGAATGACTTCTATTTAGTATTATTTCTTTTTTTAGGATCACACTTGGTCACAGTATAAAGTCACTTCTAGATTAGGTCCAGTAATCATTGAATCATTTCTGTAATCTTTTGAATGCTGTTTGGGAAGTCTTTAGACCCCAATGCAGATTATTTCAGTAGAGGAAATCTCAGAAAGGTTATATGTACATTTACTCAATCTTTTAAGATTAGCTGATCTATAACAGATGAGTCTGCTAGTTGTCTTACTACAACTTTCTGTCCAAATGTATTTTCCAAAAGCCAGGAACAGAATACCTTTTAACTATTACAAAAGGAATTAATTTGATAAGGAAATAGCATGATGTTTGTATCTTTTTTAGATTTCTTCCATGATTTATGAGCATTGATTTATTATACTGTACTTTGTCTTGTTGCATTTTCATCTCTATTTTTATCTTTGTAATATTTCAGGATATTTTGTCGTTTAAGGGCATATTTTCTTGAGACTTACACAAGGAGAAATAATGAAGGAGTACAAAAATTTTCTAACCTTACACAAAATATGTTACTTGTAGACTACTTACTAAATTAAGGTAGAAAGCATGTATGAAAACAAGACACTGATGGCTCACATCTCTACCAGCTCATGTATAGCTCCTCAAAGACTCAGAACTTTGGTGTGAAGCCAGTTTGGAGCCAGTCTGAGCAGAAAAGTCTATGAGACTCTTATCTCCAGTTAACCAACACAAAGCTGGAAGTGGCAGTGTAGTTCAAATGGTAGAATGCCAACTTTGAGCACAAAAGCCAAAGGAGAATGCAAGTCCTGAATTCAGTTCCCACTACTGGCACATACATGCACACAGAAGAAAGCACTCAGCATTGAAATACCGGGAAGACTTTTAAATAGTGAAAATTTTTTTCTTATATACCTTATATGTAAAGGTCTGGGGAGATGGTGTAATAGTAGCAGCTTTCTCCAGTTTGTAGGTAGTTTTTAATGTCTCATCGTGAAACATAGATACCACATAGACATAGGTTTTAAAATACCTTTGTGGGGCCTGGGAAGGTGGCTCAGTGGTAGAGTGCTTGCCTTGCATGCATGAAGCCCTGGGTTCAATTCTCAGCACCACATAAGCAGAAAGAAAAAGCCGGAAGTGGCGCTGTGGCTCAAGTGGTAGAGTGCTAGCCTTGAGCTGAAGAGCTGAGGGACAGCGCCCAGGCCCAGACTTCAGGCCCCACGACCAGACCCCCCCCCCAAAAAAAATAAATAAAATACCTTTGTGATGAAGTATCTTTCCTGTCTAAAGTGTCATAGGGTAAATGGAAGATCTGGCTTTCCTATCCAGCTCGATATTACAATCTTATATACTTTGTAAAGTAGTTCTGGAGAGTTAGTGCAAACTGGCCAGAAGGATCCTGAGGTTCTTTATTAATGCCTAAGAAATTAGAAATGAGCTTTTCAAATGTTCTGTAAAAGTATTTTAGTGTGTTGTATCACCTAGCAGTACTTAGCTCTATTTCACACAGAAGTACAAGTAGCATGAAGTATAATTGTTATTCAATTATAATTCCTTTTCCTCCAGAATATTTTTCATCCCATTTATAAATACATCTTAGATAGTTTAAATGTCTTAATCTTTGTGTGATAATTTATAGTAAGAGTATAATTAAAGTACTCTTAGTTATGACTACTTATGCTATGAGAGGAAACTAGATTAGTTCTAATTACCAATTAACTCAAATAATAGGAGCTTTGTACTCTCAGGAAATGACATATACGTTGTTGACCAAAGTGTTGATTTCTGGGTGAGTTAAGAGTTTAGAAGAAAGTAGCTGGTTTAGTTCATATATTGATACATAAGGTATCATTTTCTAGTGGTTAACTACTAAAAGTAGTGGGCATCTGCAAGATATTACTGAAAGACAGAGCCCAGTACTTAAAGTCCTTCATTTGACTTTTCAATGAAGAAAACATATTTAAAGATCATGATACAGATCATAATTCTTTATAAGAAAATGTTACAGAAATAAGTAATTATAGAAACAATTGAATAGGATATAGGGTTTTTAAATTATCTTTAAACTATTTCAGAAGGGTCTAGAAAATGTTCCCCCTACTTCTACTCTATCCTTCCTCCTCCCCCCAAAAAACTTTTCTAGTTAACTTACAAGATAAGCTTAGTCTTTCTATAGGTTTCTTCCTTTTGTAAATGGGTGAAGTAAATAGTACTTCTCTAATAAAAGTTTAAACTTCTTTGTTTAAATTTGAAATATGCTTTAAGATTCTTTCCTTTGCCAGATTTTTAATTCTGCTAGAATGTAACACAACAAAATTTTCATTTTCAACTACTTTTAAGTATGCAATTTCATGCTATTAAATACATTAAAGATTACATTATTTGTATGGAAATAATGACAAGAGTATCGGTTTGAGTCAAGTAGACTTGGTTTTACTGGCAGGAAAGCTTACTGAGCCACTCTGAACCTTATTTTGGTTGTCAAAAGGTACTGGCTTCTAGATCTATGAGAGAATTAAATAAAATAACAGATAAGAAAGCATAAAGCAAGATAGTAAACTTGGCCTTTCTTAGTAGTATAAAGTGAGTTTTACTATATTTTTAATGAAAAAGGTAAATTTTTTCAGGAGACACAGGAAAAGGATTCAATATAAAAAGTTTATATTTATCTTTTTTTGTGATTAATTGGAGTAGAGAGTCTCATGGACATTCCTGCCCCAGCTGGCTTTAAACTGAGGTCCTCAGATTTTAACCTCCTGAGTAGCCAGGATTACAGACATAAGCTACCTGCACCCTGAAAAGGTTTTTTTTGGGGGGGTTGTTGTTGTTTTGTCAGTTGTGGAGCTTGAACTCTGCGCCTAAGTGCTGTCCTTGAGCTGAAGAGCTCAATAGTGCTCTACCACTTGAGTCACAGTGTCACTTCTGGTTTTTTGGTGGCTTATTGGAGAGAAGAGTCTCACAGAGTTTCCTGCCTGGGCTGGCTTTGAACTGCGATCCTCAGATCTCAGCCTCCTGAGTAGCTAAGATTACAGGTGTGAGCCACTGGTGCCTAGCAAAAAAAAATTTTAAGAGAAAAATTATTACATGTTTGAAGTTATATTTTTTACTTTTTAAATATTCCTATTATTTTTTTCTAAATTTATTAAGCTCTACTAATAAAGTAATCATTTGTATCTTAGTTATGTTTGCAAAATATATGGTTAGAAAGTAAAATATTTGCCAAGTATTTGTCAAAACAATGAGTAAGAATATTTACAATGTTAAGAATCTGGAAAAAATAGGTGATATCTCAGTCTACTTATATAAGATCTAGTAGATGACCTTGCTTCTGAATCATGTTTTTTTTGTTTGGTTGGTTGGTTTTTGCCAGTCTGGGGCTTGAACTCAGGGCCTGGGCACTGTTCCTGGGCCTCTACCACTTGAGCCACAGCTCCACTTCTGGCTTTTTTGAATAGTTTATTGGAGGGTATGAGTCTTTTGGGGACTTTTTCTGCCCAGGTTGGCTTCAAATTGTGATCCTCAGAACTCAGCCTCCTGAGTAACTAGGATTACAGGTATGAGCCACCAGTGACCAGCAGTCATATTCATTTTTAAGAAGTACAAAATGAGCAAGTGAGGTATAGGGTATAGTCTACAAGTATTAATGATTCAAACACCCCACATCTACTCAGCCGTTGCTTCATGTAGACATTTTCTAAAAAGAGAAAGATTCATTTGGTGTTAGTTCAAACTGCATTTTGTGGGGATGATGTGATTATTTCCTTCTCCTGGTAAAATGTGCCAGTCATTGTCATGGTTGTTCACAAGTGAGATGTCAAAAGTTAACATGCTTCTGCAAATTAAGTCTTTGTGCCTCAGGAATAATTCTTGGAATTTGGAACATCTTCCCAAACCTTTTTTTTTCCTTCTTTGATTTGATAGTATCAATGTTTCAAGCAATACGACAGAAAAGAATATAATTGCTGGCACAGTAGACTTGCATCATTCTAGTGTTAATTATTGCTTTAAGCACAACTATTAAATTCATTTTTACCACTCCTGTTTGCTTTCCTTATAAGCCATGAGACTATTACATTAAAATTTGGAGAAGTCTGCCAAGCACCTGTAATCCTAATTATTCAGGAGGCTGAGACCACAAGATGAAAGTTCAGAGCCAACCTTGGCAGAAAAGTCTCAGAGATTCCATCTCCAAAATAGTCAACAAGAAATTGGGCTAGATGCATAGCTCAAGTTGTAGAGTACCAGTCCAGCAAGCAAGCATGAGGCTCTGAGTTCAAACCCTGGTATAAGTAGGGGGAGGGGCGGGACAAAGGAAGCACCAATTAAATTAATAGCCAGAACTGTCACAGTATGTGCTTTCTCTGTCCACAGGAAAGTGAACTTCGTGTTATTTCCCACACCTTCTGACCATTTCCATTGTGATATGCTTTAGCACACATCTCCACACACTGCATAGTCATCATAGTCATCTTTCTTCAGGGAGTTTCAGCAGTTTTAATCCATGGTCCCTTGGCTCTATTGTTGCTCCCAGTTGTGAGGCAGAACATGGTAGGAAGCGTGTGGAAGAGCAGAGAGTTGCTCACTTCATGGTGGCCCAGAAGCAGAAGTATCAGCCATACCCCAAATATTGTACTTTCTGGGTCCTGAATTATAAAGCCTGTCTCCGATTTCCCTTCACTTTTCATTTCTCAGTTATTAAATTGAGTAAAAACCTGTATTGGAGAGACTCACCAAGAGACAAGGGTTTACCAGACTCAACAACAATATTTCTTAGTTTTCTTCTTCCCCTCTACATACAATTGAGCAGTACTTGCAGAAATCATATATCATAAGCAGACCTTCAGCCACTGTTAACATTGATACTATGCTTTCTGATGATGACCATACACTTCTAATACCTGTGAGGTAGAGGACAGTGGACCATTCCTCCTAAAGTATACACCAGGTGATGGTTACCGGCAGGTGTATAATAATGAGCTCTGTTAAACACTTGTAGTTTGGGTGACTAATACTGTGGTGATGCTAAAACTTACCAGGAGATTAGTATGAGTTTTGATGTATGCATATATATATATGTGTGGATATATATGTATACCCATATGAAATAGATTTTACCTTTATCTCAAATATTAATCTTTTGCCTCAAATATTAATCATGATTCTGTGATTTTTTTTTCTTTTTAGGTGGAAACTCAATCATTACTAGAAAATTTGCATGTTTACCATTTGAATTACTTTCTGGTTCTGAGATGCCTTCATAATTTTACCTCTTCTCTTCCCAAGTATCCACTGGGTCGACAGGTAAATAAGGCCTACTCATTTGAAATCTACAAAATGGTGCTCTTCTTGTTTTGTTTCCTCTAGCTTTCAGGCATCAGAATTTAAAGTGGATCCAGATCTTATAAATCAGAACACAATCCATTCCAGCTGTACAAATTACTGGTAATTGGAACATGATTTGTTTCTTCTAGAAACAGTCATATGCATCCCAGTGGAATTCTTTCTCCTGCATTGTATTTATACTACAGGGTGTAAGCCTTCCTTGTTTAACGCTTCTGTTCCACCTATATATAGAGAGAACTAGTTCTTCACTTGGAGTGAACTAGAAAATGGAATCTGTTTGACAATGCTTAATGGTTAACCTTGCATTGAATAAAACACATTACTTTCTGCTCCTAGCAAAACTGCTTAGCTGATCTTTGTGTTTTACCCTAAACTCAACAGCCATCTGAAGAACAGATGAAAGGAATTCTAATTCTCAGGTTCTTAAGTCAGAATTTTGGAGAACATATTCAAGAATTTTAGAATGAGTTGTTTATGAGGTAATCTCTGCCATTGAACCTTCAACAAGCATTTTTTCCCTTATCATTTTCCTATCGCAAAATGACTTGCAATATCAGCTAGTCATTTTACTTTTTTGCAAGTTATATTTTTATACTCACTTTTGTTATAAATACCATGATGTCTGTTGTCATTTAAAGACTACGGTTTTTATTTTGTGTGTCTTGTGTATAAACTTAGTGTATGATTTTTGGTTCTTATGTTGTTCACTTGCAGATCAGAGAGTTGTACTGTGCGTGTTTAGAAAAGAACATATGGGATTCAGAAGAGTATGGATCTGCCTTGCAGTTGCTGAGGTACTTCTTCATTTTATATTTCCTTTTTTGTGTGCTCCAAGACTGCCTGTAAATAACACCTTCCTCCAGACTTTGCCTGCCAAAAAGTTTCATAAGTAGTCATATTGTGTCTAGGAAGATGTATATATATCTTGAATTTATGCTTGTAGCTTATGGTGTTTTTAAGGTAACAACCATACATTTCTTTAATGGTACTATCTTGTTTTTGGAATTAATAGTTTTTTTAAAAAACCTATGGTTGGGGCTGGGAAGGTGGCTCAGTGGTAGAGTGCTTGCCTTGCATGCATGAGGTCCTGGATTCGATTCCTCAGCACCACATAAGCAAAAAGAAAAAAGCTGGAAGTGGTGCTGTGGCTCAAGTGGTAGAGCGTTAGCCTTGAGGTGAAGAGTTGAGGGACAGCGCCCAGGTCCACAGTTCAGGCACCTCTACCGGACCCAAAAAGTAAAATTAAAAAATAAAAAAGAAAATTAAATTAAAAAAAATAAAAAAGAAAAACCTATGGTTGTTTAAATATTGACACTGTATGAGGAGAATGTAGATACAGATTATTTGAATCTAATCAGCTTAACATTGTAGCCAAGAAACTGCTTACTACTGGCCCCTATTCAATTTTCAGAGAATAGAGAAACATGAATTGTCATTGAAGGTGGTCATTACTTGATTAGAAGCAACATGAGGAGACAGTGGCCTACATACTTTCTTCCTTCTAATCTGCCTCTATGCACATTAGCATTGGATAATTCAGAAATTACTTAACTAATACATAAATGAATATCTTAGTGTTACTAAACATCAAAGAGCACTTATCCCTAGCAAATACACCTTAGGAAGTTAGAATCATTTATATTCTTGGCTTTTCTTTCTATTTTATTGCTGTTGGTTTATTTTAGTTTGGTTGTTTGAGACAGTGTCTCACTATATAGTCCAAGCTGACCTCAAATCGTAATCTTTCTGTCTCAAACTCCCAAATACTGGGCTTACAGATAGGAAGTCACCATCACATCCAGCTATATATTGTGACTTCTTAGTCATTAAAATAATTAAAATAATGACCACCTAGTTAAAGAGATAAATCAAATAGATGTGAGCTAGGTACTACATACTATATTATATAAATGTTTACATGAACATACAATAAAGAATTTTAGAAACTAGATTTTTTTTAAAAATTCTAGTTTTCTCTGGGCCCACAAGAAAAGAACAGATGGACATAGTAGGAGGCAGATTCACACTAAAAGCATGTTGAGTCCAGAAACTTAATAATGCAGATATAAATGATGCACAGTTAGGTGCAAATTAATTTGATGTTCTCTGGAAAAATAATTTTCCAAGGAAATTCCATTGCCACTAAAAGGCAGTATTTTATTATTTTCTTAATCCTAATAAACTGTGTCTGTGAATTTATAAATTTGAACTGCAATATTTCTGGAACTTGTTTTCTATTCAAGTAAACATCTGTGTCTTAAATATTCAGTTAATTCTTACAAAGTTTTTGGTTTTAATTTCATGATTAATGATTATCTTCTTTCTCCAGTTGCTGTTCCCAAATTCATAGATTCTTTGTCAAGGAGGAACTTGTTTCTTTCTTTCTGAACTTCTTTGGCCTGTCAGTTGTGAGTTATTAATCACTGATCAAGAATGCACATTCCAGGTGGGCACCAGGGGTTCACACCTGTAATCCTAGCTACTCAGGAAGCAAAAATCTGAGGATCACGGTTCAGTGCCACTCCAAATAGTAAAGTATGTGAGACTCTTATCTCCAGTTAATCATCAAAAAGCTGGAGTGGAGCTGTGTGGCTTAGAAGGTAGAGTACTAGCCTTGAGCATAAAAACTCAGGGACATCACCTGAATTCAAGCCCCAGGACAGGCACAAAAAAAGAAAAAAAAAAAAGAATGTTTGTTCCAGCTGGGCACCATTCCTTAATCCTAGCATCTCAGGAGGACAGATACTCAGATTTCACCTCCTTATCCTAGCGATTATATGACTTACCTGAAATCAGTTTAGCTATGTATGAAACCAAGAAGGCTTGTTGGGGTTTTTGTTTTGGTTGTTTTTTTTTTTTGTTTGGCTTGGTATTAATTTACTTTTTATTTTGTTATTTCACTTCAATTTTTATTTTCTTGCATATAGCCCAGGCTGATCTCCTGCTTCAGCCTCCCAAGTGCTAGAATATACTCATGTGCAACCATGCCCAGATGGAAACAAAATCCCCATGTGGGTCTGATTGTACCATCAACTGTTTTTTGATAAACTATTTCATATTCATTAAAAAGTATTTATGAGGAGCCAGGCATGGCATAGTAGCACATACATGTAGTCCAGCTACTCAGGAGGCTGAGATAAGTGATCCCTTGAGACCAGAAGTTTGAGGTCAGCCTAGACAATATAGGGAGATCCTGTCTCAAAACAATAATTGTTTATGAGGAATTTGTAATCATATTGGGAAATACATGAGTAGAAAAGAATTTCATATCCATAAAATGTACATAATGTACATTACTATGGGGGAATATGCACGTGTGTATTGTGATATGTATCACAGTGTATTGATTTGTTTGTCTTCTAGAACCTTTCCTTACTGAGTTCTTGCACCATGGAGAGCATATGTTTGTATAAGATAGGAAGTAAGTCATTGTTCATCAGTCTTGAATTGTTATGTGAGGAACTATTTAAGACAAAAATCACATGGGAATAAATAGTAATAAAAAAAGGATGGTAACCCAATAGGGAGCTAGGTAAATACATTACCTTTCCTTATCAGCTTGAAAGACTTCAAAGAGGAAAATGTTGTTACTAGAATCCCTATGTACGAATTAAACATATGCCCAGAATCTTTCAGACTTCTAAAATTCATAGAACCTTGCATAAGTGATAAATGCTTCTGTTTGTTTTGCTTACTAGGCTGGCATTCTGCTTGAACCACATCGCCAGCCCTTTATTGCTTTAGTTATTTTGAGTAATGTAACATCTTGTTTTTTTGCCTGAGGCTACCCTTGGCCCATGATCCTTCTACCTATACTTCTGGCATAACTTGGATTACCTACCACCTTATTTGAGATAGTCTTACTTAGTTTTTTGCTAGGGTTGTCCTTACCTCAAACCACGATCATCCCAATTTTTACCCCCCAAGTAGTTGTGATTATAGGCATGAGCCAGTGCCCCCAGCCCTTACATGATAAAGTTTCAAGCATTGATATAAAGCAGAGTCCTCAGTTTACAGAAACATGATGGATCAGCTGAACCCAAAGCATACTGTACTCTGATAGTAATAGCATTTTTTTCTTGGCTTGGGAACAACGAAAACTTCGTTGTACCTAGGAGAATTTGCTTTGCTCCCTGTCCTTATTAGCTGATGATTCATCTTCGGGTCTATCATTTTCTTTCAAATAAGGAAACCAAAGCCAGAAACACCAATATTTTTTTTCAAGTTTATAGAGCAGTACTTTCCACATTTTCCACCCTAGATCCATTGTTTGAGAGTTAATAGCAAGAGGAAATGGTATTTGGGCAAATAGACCATGTTAAGAACACACCCACAATTATAAAATGAGCCGGGAGAAAGAGCTGCTGTGGACTCAGCCACACTGTCTTAACCCTGACCCTAGTCATCTCAGCACAAGTGCAGAAAAATGAAGGAAGCAATGGCATTTAGTCCACTTATCCCAAGTGACCTTCTAAGTTTGCTGTGGAAACTCAAACCCTGAAGTTCATTGATAGCTGAAGGAATTACTTTAGCTGAATGGAATTATCCTAATTTCTGTTTATTTGGTTTTAATTTTTTATCCAGATTGTCTTCTGGGTGAATAGGTTTGAGACCCATTCACCTTAGCATCTTTTCACTGAGGCCTGATATCATATAATTCTTTATTATTGCATGACTTACTCTCTTCATGGAAAAATATTTTCTTCAGTGTTTCATTTGAGCTAATGATCTGATGACAAATATATTTCTGGTTCTTATCAACATAAATTGTGATCAAGTGAGTGATTCAAGCAGATCAATAGATAGGTAGCTACAATAGAGTAGTAAAAGCAATTTAAAAAAAATGTAGCGAGCTCTTAAATGCTAAGGTACCACCACTTTGCAGTTAACCTCCATTTGTGAGGTTGTCAAGTGGCATCTGATATCAGAAATTAAGGTTTAAAGGAAGCTACACATTCTTCGGTTTTCATAGTTACAAGTCATACATATATAGATAGCTATAGATATATTTGCTTTGTTGTGTTAGTCTTTTAAAAAGATCTCTGAATAGATTGCTTTTAGTGACATTTTATTTTCTTAATTTCTGGTCTTCATTAACATTAATACATTTGTAATCCTAGGTTTTAAATATTTTTCAAAGCTGTCTTGTAATGGAATTGTCTGTTTGGAACATGAGGATTTATTCAAAAGATCTTTGAATTAGCCCAATTTTTCTATTCCTCTTAACCTGACTTTTATATAATTAGTACTAATGAGAAATGATGGGCTCTCTGCATGAAGAAGCAGAACATTTCTTTGCCCTGCAGGATGATTGTTTTTTGTGATGATCCTATGTTTCTGTTTCACAAGGAAGCTGTTTTGTTGTTGGTTTGTGGGGCGGGGGGTGGGTGCAAATGATAGAAAGTATAAACCTTTTAATATATTGTCAAAGTTCTTTTTTGAGCTATAGTGATATAATCATTTCTCAATCAAGTTAGTTAAATGCCCTTTAGTGTTCTTCTGTGGCACTAGTGTGAACTATTTAAACACCTTTTTGCCCTTTTCTTTAATGTTATAAAGTGGCTTTTAAACCTTTGAATTTGGTATTTTCTTTTTAATTTCTTTTAAAGCAGAATGCCAGTTGCAGTGAACCAAAATTGGAAAATGCTCTTTCTCTCTCCCATTCTCTTAAACTGATATAATTAGCCTTTTGCATCTCATCAAAACTAGTTTTTATCAGAGGTGATTCTGTGACCTTGAATGAATTAATCACTCTGCCTGTGCTATATATTCTGCTAGCAAGCAGAATTGCCTACAGTGTTTATCTGAGTAAATTTACTCAGTTGATTTACTGAGTAATGTTTATGAAGCCTTTAGAAGATGTAAAGCATAGTTCAAATGGTAATGCTTAGAAAAATGATTGCTGGGCTTCAGTGGCTCACACCTGTAATCCTAGTTACTCAGGAGGCTGAGATCTGAGGATCATAGTTCAGAGCCAGCCCAGGCAGGAAAGTCTGTGAGACTTTCTCTCCAGTAAACCACCAGAACACCAGAAGTGGCACTGTTGCTCAAGTTGTATAGCACTTACCTTGAGTTGAAGAGCTGAGGGACAGTGCCCAGGCCTAGAGTTAAGCCCCATGACTGACCAAAAAAAAGATGATTGTGTTAGTTCTATTTTTGGTACTTTTAAACCTGCATTCATTTAGCATGTCATACTTTCTTCACTTGTTTAATTATTAAGCTTTCATCTAATCTAATAATGTGTTATGACTTTTTTCATTTTACAGACAAGAAAACCAAGGATCAGAGATATCTAGTAAACTTGTTCTGCATTTTAACATAGTAAACTCACAGCTAGGCTGTGAGCCCAAATTTTTGAATATTTTCCAAGCTTAAGCTTTATGATGAGAGAGAGCTCTTCAAGAATACCTCTCACTGTCATATATATTCAGGAAAATCTTTTCAAAGGAAAGTGAGGACTACTAATGAGGAATTTATACTATCTGCTCTGACCAGAAATATTTAATAAGTAGGAAATGTTTTAAGTTTATTCATTTTTTTTAGTTCTGTTACATCTGTCACTCTTTTCCAGAATGTTGGCAAAGGATGAACTGATGAACATACTAAAGAAATGTTACAAGGTTTTTAATTCTTCTGAAAAGCAGCTTGGCAGCACAGTAAAGAAAATAGAAGAATTCCTGGCTGAGTTTCAGAACCTTGATGGTAAAAATGTAATATCCTACCAGTTCTACTGACAGTGACATTCCTCCATTAACCAAAATATAGTTCATGGTCAGTCAGTATACTAAGCCTCAGAATTTCACGCCATATCAGTCACCAATAGTCAGCCTGCTTCTATTCTAGATGTGGTTTAAACAATAGAGTATCATAGCCAGGCACCAGTAGCTCATGCCTCTAATCCTCCCTACTCAAGAACTGATAACTGGGAATTGTGTTTCAGAGCCAGCCCCTGCAAGAGTCCATGAGACTCTTAGGTCCATTTAATCATCAAAAAGTTAAAAGTAGAGTTGTGGTTCAAGTGGTAAGTGCTAGCTTGTAGCAAAAGAGCTTAGGGCAGCACTCAGGCCCTTGTTCAAGCACTAGGACTAGTATTAGATGCACAGAAATTCTTTAGATTTATCTAAGCAAAAGGCAACAGAAAGGAAAAGAGAGAATAGCAGGTAAATGTAATTATTTTACAAAATTAGACTCAAAAGTCTCTAATGATTGCTGTAAAGAGAAACTTTCATAATTTTATTTGCAGTTCAGGTAACATCTAGTGATCAAATTCTGTGGTATGCTAACATTAAAGAAATACATATTTTTGGAATGGGAACACTGAACATTAAAATGCTTAACAGCATAAAGAATAAAGAATATGACAAATGAAAGCAAAAGCTATCTTGGAGTAATGTCTATTTTCAAAACACTGTTAATAAGTGTAATTTACACTTCCTATATTGGGGAAGTAGAAATATATGGCTTTGCAGTCTGGTTTTTTATTTCTGATTTGATATTACAAATTGAGGACGGTTAAGTAAGGCAGAATGTCAGATTTGAATTATTTTTAAGGCACTGCTACATGTTAGTGAAATGGAATAAAGAATTCAGTAGGTTTATTGGCCTTAAATTATGTTTTTTTTGAGACAAGTTATCTACAGTGAAGAAGAATTTTTTTCTTTGAGAATGATATATATTCTCTAGCTTTATCTTCTATTTTAGATTTGGGCCAAACTTTGTGAGTATCAGGCCCCAAGATATACCCTGAACTTTAGGAGGGCATCAGTGCCTCGGCTTTCCAAAAGCACAGTAGTACATTTTACCAGTTACGGTTTTCTCTTCATTTTGCTAAGGAACCATGCTATACTGTGTTTTAGTAGATTACTTCACAACTTTTATACACTACCTATTTCCCAATACGTAGTATTGTAGAAATAGTTATTTGAAAAGCAGAGACAAAAGTTTGTCAGAGATTGTGTTGTTTACAATCTACATAAAGAAAAATAGTTTAACATTTGCATGATTTTTTTAAAAGGAGCTATAACAACGCTAATATTTTGATGCTTTTTGTTGTTGATTTCAGAGGATTTGTTTTCGTTATGATACACTTAAAATTTAGTAGGTGGTTTCTGAAGAACTTATGGAACCATATATATTAAGTAATATTAATTGACCTTCTGCATTGAACAAATTATTTACCTGATGATACCTTGATCCCTTGCCACATTTTACTTCATTTGGCTTCATATAGTGTTTGTTCTCTTGACTTGGACTTACCCTAATTATTGTATATTGGTTATATATTGAAAACAGATGCCAAAGAGGAAGAAGATGCTTCTGGGTCACAGTCAAAGGGGTTTCAGAAGACAGACCTCTATCATCTTCAGAAGGTCAAGTCTCATTTCCTTCCAACGTCATTTTTTCAATGTGTGCTCTAGATTAGCTATGCCAAGATATTTTTGTTGTCAAGCCATAACCAGAACAACACTTTCAATTTAGTAGGTGTATTGACCTTGAATTCACACTTTCAAATTCACATTCTGTTTGTCCTGCTGCCCGCCTCAGCTCTGCATGCGTACACCCTGTGTGTAGTAGACTGGTGGAAGCTGTTTTTATAGGCTCATTAGGAAAAATGGAACAAACGTAGTTGCAAAACACCCCAACCAGATTGTTAGCCTAAGTATTTATTTTTCTGGTAGGTCAAATTTGAAGAGGTTCAAAGGAGGAACTCATTCATTTTAGATACTTTCCTTGATAATTTTAGTGCACATTTATATATAGAATAGAAACTGAGCCATATAACAGTATGTTACTTTTCAGTTCTAACTTCATGATCTTGATTGTCAAATGAAGAATGTTATTGGTACTGGTACCGTAAATGCCAAGTTATGTAGATATAACAAATATTTTACTCAAGAAAATGTGAAATCTTTTTAGTTACTATTTCCAAAAGGTATAGTGGCTATTGATGGTCCCTTCTTTCATCTTCTCTTCATGTTTCACCCCTTCCTCAGTCTCTTGTATTTTCTCCTGCTTTTTCTTATCCAGTTTCATTCCTTTTCTTAAATGAACAAATGGATTCTGAGTATGGAGTTCTTTACTATATAACTGAAGAGTGACATGAACTGCACTTTCCCTTTCTCCCTGAAAATTTATTTGCTTAAAGCAAAACATCTCAGAGCCTTGCCAGATGTTTAAAAAAAGAAAAAAGGGCACATTTGACTTGGCTTTTAGTACATTCTGCCTATAGAAAGAACATTAGTGGCCTCTACCTAGTAATAGCTCCCTTGGAAACTTTTTCTCAGAATCACCAGAAAAAGTATATTCTTTTCACCCACAGTCCTTATTGGAAATGAAAGAATTAAGAAGAACAAGTAAGAAGCAAACCAAGTTTGAAATACTCAGAGAAAAAGTTGTGAACTTCATTGACTGTCTGGTGAGGTGAGTCTGTGTCTTGTATTAGTAATTGTCCTGGTCCTGCAAATAATATTGGCATAATAACTATCACCAACCCAAGATACTTTTTTCCTAGTCTTTTGTATTTCTCCATTCAACTTAGATTTATTAGTTTTATTCCTTTTCCTTTAAGGCATCTAATCAAATTTCTTAGTTTACTCTTATACTGTCAGCTTAAAAAATATAAATTTAAACATAATTTATAAGGCCACATAGGAAAAAACAGTGAATTAGAAAGTGTTTTTTCCCCCCTATTTACTTTGTTAAAGTGCTTGTATCTCACTTTGTCATGGTTCTGTCTTTGCTAGAAGTAAATACTAAATCTGGGTCATGCCCAGAAAACAGGCTAAGCAGACTGGCCATGCTGCTCCATTTTGTCCTGAATAAAGAACTTCTAAAGAATACCAGAACAACTCTTATCAGCATGAGATCCATTGTTGAACCACCTCCTCAGTAAATGTAGGCATCTCTCAGTCTGTCCTGGATTCTTGGGACCTAGATCATTCTGAATTGTAAATTGCTTTATGTAACAGTAAAATCACCCATCCAAAGCTACCTTTTGGAAATTTGGACCATGCTACAAAAAGAAGTATGCAGAAAAAGAAAAAAAGCAGAAACATGTTTTATTCTGTTTTGTTTGTTTTTAGTGATATTTGAAATCCTCCAGCATGCAAGGCACCAGGTGGAAGAAAGTACTGAACAAAAAAATAACAGCTTAGTTTTATTGAGGACAGTAAAATTTGGCAAATAGCATTCCCTTCCTCAAAGTGAAAATTTCTATTTTCCAGGATAGTGTGAGTACAGGGTCTTTCCTAGTTGCTGAAAAATATAAATGCCAAACAAAATGATCAACAGAATCTGACAAAGCTATAAGAGAGAAATGTGCCATAATGAAGTGAGTGATATCTTCAATATTGAGCTGAACTGTTAGTCAAGAATTATTTTTCAGAACTTGCCCAAGGAGACTTGACAAGTTATGCCCATTGCAGTCACTAGAAATTATTTTACCGTGCGATTTAACAGACTTAACTAAATATCAGCCTTCTATGGTCTTACACATCCCAAACTGAGCTATGAAACTGTGTCAAGTGTTCCCCTTTCATGATCTTTATCCTAAGGGCTGGCTTCAGAGCAGTTATTGAATAATGTTGAGCATGAATGAAATGTGAAATCACGTATCTCTGATTCTCAAGCTTACTGTCTTTACTAAGATTGTCTTTCCAGAGAGGGAAGAGTTTAGGATTGTAGCATATTAAAACTAAAAGACAGAAGTAAAAGAAAGCTGAAGAAGTACAAAAACCTAGAGAGAGGTCAACAGTCTAAGTCTCCTCTGACATTTGCCCCTAGAAGCCCCAGCACTGAGTTTGTATGTATTCAATTAATGTAGCCCAGTGGGAACAAAATAAGGCAGATGTTTTGCCTCAGACAGAGACTTACCTGAAGATAGAGAGAAAAAAAAAATAGCATTTTGCCTGAATCTTTTAAACATTAATTGTAAAGACATTTTAAAAAGGGTAGGACTATAAATGTGAAGCAGTAGTTTATTTCTTCTATAACTTTAGTTTTGGGAGATTTCCATTCTTCCATTGCATATGAAGATTTCAATAAAGTCTCACCCAATGTCCCCCTTCCCTCCAATATTGAGGATTGAGCCGAGGCCCTTAAGTGCATAGCCTTGCTCCAGGGCTATAAATGGCAGCCACAATAGCCCCAGGGGAGTAACTGTGTGAGGTTGGTTTAGGGGGGCGGTAGGAAGGTTTAGGATTTAGGCACATAACTTACAAAATAGGCATTCCATGGCATCCAGGATGCCACCAGCATCACAGAAAACATTTCCTGAAGTAGCAGCTTACTTAGTTCAGTGCTAAGTAATTGAGACGAAAGCAGAATGTTCCCTTAGTGAGGGTCAAATCAAAACCTTACTCTGTAGGTAGGTTTTGCTCCAGGGGACTCAGCAGCATTTGGGATTAGAATGGGGGAAGGGATGAGGAGACCTTGATATGGGAGGAGGGAGAGGATGAGTGATGTGAATGTTAATATCTTTCCTTTCATCTTCAAGCCACTGATTATCTCAGACTAGAGCGTGTATAAGGGGATTTTCATAGGAAGTGGTCTCCTCTCCAGGAGATGAGAAAAGACTCTTGAAGAAGAGGAAGAATGTCTGGTGGCAGGGCTGAGGTAGCTCTTTGTTCTCCTTACATTGACTGAAATGAGCTATATAGTCTGGTGTGGCTAACACACTTCAAGCTCAGAACTGGATTAAGTTCCAGGAATCTTTATGCAGGCATGTGCATTAACTACTTAAATCCAGTGGGTGACCTATTACCAGCCTTCGCTTGTGTGTACCAAAGTTTGTTCAGTTTGCTGCCTTACAGGCTACCTAATGGTGATGTCATTGCTATGGGACAGACCTGCTCTTGAGTTCATTATAGATCCAAAGTGACTTTGTGATGTCTTCTTTTTTAAGTTTAGCTTTGTATTTATTTTCCGGTCCTGGGGCTTGAGCCACAACACCACTTCCAGCCATTTCTGAATATATGGGACTGAGGAATCAAACCCAGGGCTTCATGCATGCTAGGCAAGCACTCTACCGCTAAGCCACATTCTTAGCTCTAAATTTATTAAAATTGATTTGCTATTTAATCCATAGGTGAAAAGTAGGAATTCTAACTTATGCCAGGAATAGTGTCTGTCTGTGTGTGTGTGTGTGTGTGTGTGTGCCTGCGCGTGTGTATGTGTGTGTGTGTGCTGGTTGTGGGACTTAAACTTAGGAACTGGGCACTGACGCTGAGCTTTTGTGCTCAAGGTTAGCACTCTTACCACCAAGACACAGCTCTACTTCTGGATTTTTTGTTTTTGTGGTTAACTGGAGATGAGAGACTCAACAAGCAATCCTCAGATCTCAGCCTCCTAAATAGCTAGGTTTATAGGCTTGAGCCACCAGAGGCTAGCTATGCCAACATTTTTAATAATTGAAACATTATTGCTTAACAATTTTCTCCATACTGTGAAATTGAAGTTTAGCCTTTGTGCCGGGCGCCGGTGGCTCACGCCTGTAATCCTAGCTTCTCAGAAGGCTGAGATCTGAGGATCATGGTTCAAAACCAGCCCGGGTAGGAAACTCCGTGAAACTCTTATCTCCAAGAAACCATCAGAAAACCAGAAGTGGTGCTGTAGCTCAGGTAGTAGAATGCTAGTCTTGAGCTGAAGAGCTGAGGGACAGCGCTCAGGCCCAGAGTTCAAGCCCCACGACTGACAAAAAAAGAAAAAAGAAAGAAAGAAATTTAGCCTTTGTTTCTTCCTAAAGTAAATAATTCTTGTATATAAAAAACACTCGGGCTGCTAGGAAGGTGGCTCAGTGGTAGAGCGCTTGCCTTGCATGGACAAGGCCCTGGGTTCGATTCCTCAACACCACATAAGCAAAAAGAAAAAAGGTGGAAGTGGCGCTATGGTTCAAGTGGTAGAGCGCTAGCCTTGAGCTGAAGAGCTGAGGGACAGCGCCCAGGCCCAGAGTTCAGGCCCCATGACTGCCCAGAAAATAAAAATAAAAATGGCAAATAAACCATTATCCTCCCAAAAGAATCTCCTAAATTCTCGATTTTAGGCTTAAGCCTTGTGTTTAATATTATTAAGAAAGAGTAAAAGTTTGCTATGGTAAAAAAAAAAATAGAGAATGTGGTTATTTTGGTTTTTTAATTAATGTAAGAAATTCATTAAGATTCCTCTTTCTGTAAGCTGCCTAGCATGACTTGTGAAAGTGATTTGGTACTCCCTTGATCCCACTTGAGAAAACCACACAGCTCTTTGGGTTTCCATGAAGAAAGAACTGCCTGAAGTATGGAGGGTATGCATAGCTGAACAGCTACTAGCTATCTACAAGATGTCACTCTAAAAAGGTGGCAAGTATGCTCAGGCCTAACTGGCTGAACACAAGGGCCCCCAAAGTGCAGCATTTCTGCTGCATGTATTTAAAAGTGCATAGAGTAATCCTGAACTGAAAATTTAGATGTAGATTCTCTGGTCATTGAGTGAATCCAGGTGAGAAAACTAGCAAGACCAGGATACTTAAAGAACACATGGTCAGACTGACCCATATATATGAGCTTCCACTGCCACACTGAGTTGATCATGACTGAAAAGGAGCAAAAACCAGAAGAGATAACACAGAAGAAAAAGATATTCCAGAAAATAACTTTCAGCACAGAAATACATTTAGCCTAAAATAAATGCAAATGAAAGAAAAAAAATCATTAAGGCCAGGTGCAGTAGCTGATACCTATAATCCAGGCTACAAATTGGTAGGATCAAAGTTTGGAGCCAACCTGAGCAAAGTTAGTGAGATACCACCCCATCTTCAACAAAGAAGCCAGGCTGTGCAGGAGGCATTCATGGTCCAAGGCCCACCTTGTAAATCCTATCAAAAAATAACTATAGCAAGACTGAAATGGGAGTAGAAAGTGAAGTGGTAGAAAGTGCCTAGCAAGCATAAGTCCCTGAGTTCAAAGCACCAATACTGCTAAAAATTAGTTATTCATACTTTAAATTTGACTTTAAAGATTTAGAGCATAACTTTTATAAAGAATATCCAGGAATCTGGTCACTTCCTGCTCACACTTGTAATCTTAGCTACTCAAGAAGCTGAGATCACAGTGTTAATGGTTTAATTATCAGCCCAGGCAGAAAAGTTAATGAGGCTTTTATCTCCAATAAACTCCTCTAAAAGCCAAAAATGAAGCTGTGGCTCAAGTGGTAGAACACTAGCTTTGAGCAAAAGAAGCTCAGGGACAGTGCCCAGGCCTTGAGTTCAAGCCCTGCTCCCGGTTCAGAAAAAAAGTACAGACATTATTAAAAATATGTAGATGAGGGGCTGGGAAGGTGGCTCATTGGTAGAGCACTTGCCATGCATGCATGAGGCCCTGGGTTCAATTCCTCCGCACCACATAAGCCAATAGAAAAAAGCCGGAAGTGGTGCTATGGCTCAAGTGGTAGAGGGCTAGCCGTGAGCTGAAGAGCTGAGGGACAGCGCCCAGGCCCAGAGTTCAGGCCCCACCACTCGATCCCCCCCCAAAAAAATAGGTAGATAGATAGATAGGGAGAACCCTCCAAAAAATAGATAGATAGATGAGATAAGATGAGATGTAGTTCTGAATGAAATACTAGATCTAATATTTGAATTTTGTTTTATTTGGCTCTTGTTCGTTTTGCCTTCTCAGTAGATTGTTCAGTTGATAAAACTTACATTGGAAGTGTGTGTGTGTGTGTCCGTGTGTCTGTGTCTGTATCTAAAAGCTAACTGGCTATTTCAGAGAATACCTTCTGCCTCCTGAGACCCAGCCTCTCCACGAGGTGGTGTACTTCAGCGCAGCCCACACCCTTCGGGAGCATCTGAATGCCTCTCCCAGAATCGCCCTCCACACAGCACTCAACAACCCCTACTACTATCTAAAGGTAAGGAGGGATTTGGTTCTCAACTGAAGCTCACTCCTTGTGCTTTATCGTCACAAAACACTCTTGTTTGCAGTTCTGGTTTAATGAGCAAAGACTGGAGGTAGGAGCTGTATCTTTCATATCTTTTTAAGACCTCTTTTCAATTTAGAGGGATTTTCTAACTCAATGAAAACCACCAATCAGTGGTGATGCTGCATATTTTTGACCATATCATGAACTGTCTTCCTTTCCTATGATACAGCCAGATCCTAGGCACAGGGCTGAGGATATAATGCTACTTGATCTTGTGATAGGACTGAGGAAATAATGCTACTTGAGCTTGTGAAAAAAGGAAATGTCTCCTGAAGAGATTGTTATTTAATATAAATTATAACCACATATATTAAGTAATTTGGAAATAGTTTAAGTCCCTAGAGTAATTCTGCAAACATTACTTAAAAGTGACTCACTGACCCTGGCACCACTGGCTCACATCTGTAATCCTGGCTACTCAGACATAAGCCAGCCTAGGCAGAAAAGCCTCTAGACTCTTACCTCCAACTAACCCCCAAAAAAGCCAGAAGTGGAGCTGTGGCTCAAGTGGTAGAAAATTAGCTTTGAGCTATTAAAAAAAAAAAAGCTCAGGACAGCGCCTAGGTCCTGAATCCAAGCACCAGGACCAGCACCAAACAGTGTTTGACAAGAAGTATACTCCTTACTCATGTAACTCTATACAATAAAATGAAATTTAAAAAAATATGACCCACGGAAGCCTGTGAGGTGTCCTCACACGCTAGCTTCCCATTGCAGAATGCACAGCATGCTATCTACTGCAGGACAACACTGAGCGGTAGGAAAACACAAATCTGGTTTTCAGTGAGGGGTGGTAGGAAACTTGCATGTTAAGGAATAATAAAACAAGTTACTTTTTTTTTTCCCCCATGGGTCTTGAACTCTGGACCTGGGCACTGTCCCTGAGCTCTTCAGCTCAAGGCTAGTGCTCTACCACTTGAGCCACTTCCAGTTTTCTGGTGGTTAATTGAAGATAAGAGTCTCACAGACTTTCTTGCCTGGGCTGGCTTTGAACTGAGACCCTCAGATCTCAGCCTCCTGAGTAGCTAGGATTATAGGTGTAAGTCGCTGAAGCCAGGCTTCAATTACTTCTAATATATAAGGTACAGATTAAAACTCACACAATCTTAGTAGTGGCATCACAGAAAATAAAAACAGATGTGGTTTCAGTGGGGAAGATATGTAGCTTGGGCAGCTTGTATATATGATTGTGTTCTGAGTAAGAACTATGGATTTTAAATATTGTAGGTTGAAAAGATACTGGTGGCTTCTACAGTGCTTAAGATTTACAATGTTGATAGAATAGTCTTCGAGATAACTTATACCTCTACTAGTTAAAGGATTCCCTAAATTAGATATCACAACTAGAAATGTATGGGGTTTCAGAAAATAATTTATGATTAAAATGAAAAATATGCTTGTCTTCTGTCCTGGGAATATTTTTCCAGTGACTAGGAGCTAGAGAGATATGACCAAGACCTAAAGCTTAATAAGAGCTTTAAATTTCTAATGAGTCCATTGACTAAAGAAACCAGATTACTAGTTTACTAGAGATATTAGGAAGGGTTGACTAATGCCTCATTTTTCTTAATCATCACTTTAGCTTACCATTTTTTTTAGAATGAAGCCCTAAAGAGTGAAGAAGGCTGCATTCCAAATACCGCCCCTGACATCTGCATAGCATACAAACTGCACCTGGAGTGTAGCAGGCTAATCAACCTTGTGGACTGGTCAGAGGTATGTCAGGAAGAAAAGAGCAAACTCTGGATTTGGCTATCTTACCCATGGCAACTTCCCTGGAATATTTTCTTTTATTTGGAAAGCATAAACTGCCTCATTCTTCAGAAGCTCAGCAATCCTCACTCCCAGTCTGCTCTCTGATCCTGCATTCCTCAACCAAGCCAATTCTGCATTCAGGCCAGATCAAAATAAATATGTGATCTGTTAGCATTAAGGAAAACTAAACAATTTAGGTCTGTTTTGTGGTACTCCACAAAGTAAGTATGTTATTGGCTAGCATTTTTTTTCTTTGCATAAAAGAAAAAAATTGAAAGGACTACAAAAGATTAACAGTCAAGAAGTGCAAGAGTAAGCTTGAGAGTGATGGACAACTGTCATTATTCTTTATAATATTTTTTTCCTCAGAATAGAATTACAGAGATCTGAGCTCTGCAGAAAGTCTCGTCTTCTCACCATTAAAAATATTCCCCAATTACCTGCTTCTAAGAAAAATAGGCCAATTTTTCTGGGGTAAAGGAAATTGAAGGTAGAAGATACAGGGTTTTCTTGGCCTTTTAATTTTGATTCTCTTTGTTTCTTCGGTTCTCTAAATACTTTGTGGTTTTCTGAAACAAGATTATTCAGGAGCCATTGTGTTATCTTTTAATGTATAACTTGCTTTGAAATGATTATCAGTTTTAAGGAGGTGACATTTCATATAATGAAAAAAAATATACCAGCTACCAGCAGTATTAGATATAGCTTATTATGGAAACATCAGAGAGTATAGTAAAAGATATTTGGTGACTTTAGATATTTCTGTTTTCCTCTGTCTTGTGTACTCAAAAGGCTTTTGCAACAGTTGTGACAGCTGCTGAGCAAATGGATGGGAATGCTACCACCTCAGAAGAAAGAAACGAAATTATCCAGTATCCTTTAAAGAAATCAGGTCTAGAGTATTCAAATTGAGGATGAGAAGTTAACTGTGGGGGAGGGGCAAGGGTGGGCATGGATAGCTCAGTAGCAAGCACCAACAAGTATAATGAAAACAAAAGTACAGTTTTTGTTCTTGGTTTTTTAAGTGTCTATAGTTTCTTGGACTGGAAAATGTAGCTCAGTAGTAGAGTACTGCTTTGCATGCACAAGGCTTAGCACCAGAAGGGAAAAAAAGTTTTGTTATTTCTGTAGATTTGTACTAGCCTTTGTAAAGATGTTAACTTTTTTTTTCTCCTCTTCAGACCTGGGGCTTGAACTCAGGGCCTGGGCACTGTCCCTGAGCTTTTTTGCGTAAGGACAACAGTCTGCCACTGAACCACAGCTTCAGTTTTTTGCTGGTTAATTAGAGATTAGTCTCACTGTCTTTCATGCCCTGGATAGCTTCGAATCATAATCCTCAGATCTCAGCCACTTGAGTAGCTAGGATTATAGGCATGAGTCATTAGCACCTAGATAAGAAGTTAACTTTTTAGCATTAACCATGCCATTTGAGAAAAACTTAAATTTCTAAGTATTCTGAATTTAATGAGACTGTACCAGAAGTAGTCATTTCTCTACTTTTCTAATGTTTGTTTCAAAGTGAGGGAGGGCAGTTTTTATATTCTTCTAAAATTTAGACTCTGGGTAAGTGTTCAGGAAGCACTTTTCCATTTGTATATTACTGACAGTATGTTCTAATTGCATTTAATGTTTTCCGTTAAGGGTTATTTATGCTAATTTGAGGAGTATATAATTCAACTACTACTTCTTTAACATTGAAATTTTAACCTCTGTCAAAATTTAACATGGTCAGTTTCCTTACCTAGAGTCTCCAGTGCTCGGTTTATTAGAGCTGTTTCTGAACTAGAACTTTTAGGCTTCATCAGACCTACAAAACAAAAGACTGACCATGTGGCAAGGCTAACATGGGGCGGCTGCTAAGGAACGATGAGTGACCCAAGTATCCCATTTAACTTAAGGGCAAAGGGAGGCCATTCATATAAGTCACCAAAGGAGACTCCTGGTGAGGAGAGACATGTGTGACCACCACAATGTGCACTGCTAACCCCAAACAGATGGTTATTACAACATCTTTGATGTACTTTAGAATACAACAAATAGCATACTTAAAATATAACTAAAACTTTCGTTCTTGTACTTTTCACAGTCTTTAATAAGTTATGGGTGGGTCAGTCTTGACAGTACAGTGTAAATTAATAAATATATTGAACCAGGAATCTAGAATATGTGTGACTGGTAGTCATATTCTAGCCTTGTCCCTGGTTTTTGTGCAATGGCCTTCCTCACTTGAGTACATTTTATATGAATGAATGTCTTACAGGTTTGTTTCTTCTAGTGGTTGACTACAAAAGTTCAAAAACTGCCTCTGACTTCCTGTGTCCTTTAGTCTTATAACTTAACAAGATTCAGGCTGTTTAGCTTTACCCTTAAACACTCAACTTTTGGATAAGTGCTCGTTAAGTCTTAAAGCCAGTAAGGCCTTTACAAATCACATCCTAAACATGTAAAAATTAGGTAAGGAAATTAAGACTTCAGTGACATGTGGAGCTCTTCCATGGCAAGAACTCATCAAGACATAATGAGACTACAATACCTAAAGCTCATTATTTAATGTTGTATCCCAGAGAGCATTGTGGGACTTTATTCAATAACATATGAAAAGCACTATGCAAATGGATGCTGTAGGGGCAGTACATGTCCACACCAAAAAAACTGGTAGTGGGAGGCAAGGGGCAGGCACACACACCATTTAATTTGAAGGTAATTTCAATGAATAACTAACTTTATTCAAGAGAAGAGAGTAAAGAGAGGGAGAGGGGGCTGGGAAGGTGGCTCAGTGGTAGAGCGCTTGCCTTGCATGCATGAGGCTCTGGGTTTGATTCCTCAGCACCACATAAGCAAAAAGAAAAGAAGCCGGGAGTGGCGCTGTGGCTCAAGTGGTAGAGCGCTAGCCTTGAGCTGAAGAGCTGAGGGACAGCGCCCAGGCCCAGAGTTCAGTCCCCATGACCGGATCCCCACAATTGAAGAATCAAGTGCAAGCAGACCCTATAGAGCTCTGGGTAGTCTTGTTAACCAGAATAGCATCATCTAAGTTAGGGTAAGTGTTTCACGTAATTCACCTAAACAAAAAATGCCAGAACTTATTCAGTCAGCAGAATTTAAACACACACATGCTCGGGGGACTGTCAACTTGAAATTTAGTTTATGATATGCACAGAAAATTATGACCCTGGGCTGGGAAGGTGGCTCAGTGGTAGAGTGCTTGCCTTGCATGCATGAGGCCCTGGGTTTGAATCCTCAGCACCACATAAGCAGAAAAGGCCAGAAGTGGCACTGTGGCTCAAGTGATAGAGCGCTAGCCTTGAGCTCAAGAGCTGAGGGACAGTGCCCAGACCCAGAGTTCAAGCCCCACGACTGACAAAAAACAACAAAAAACTATGACCCTTAAAAAGTAACTAAGACAAATACAGGCTTTGATACCTTCTAGCAAAAGGCTGAGCCTGTCATCCTAAAGTCTTATTTATTATTTGTTCTGGGGATTGAACTCAGGACCTCTCACTCTCACTTGGCTTTTTCACTCAAGACTAGTGTTCTGCCACTTGAGACACTGCACCACTTCCGGCTTTTTCTGAGCAATTTATTGGAGATAAGAGTCTCATGGACTTTTTCTGCCCAGGCTGGCTTCGAACAGCCATCCTTAGATCTCAGCCTCCTGAGTAGCTAGGTTTACAGACATGAGTCACTGACACCCAACTCATGTTTCAGTATGTTAGTAAAGGTTGTATAGATTATTTCAAGGCTTTTCTACCTATTGTTTAATTATGTGAGGAGTCAACCATGGGAAAGGTTTTCCAATACTGATGAGGACATCATCACCATGGAAAACTTGGTTTTCTCTGGTATTCAAATGACACTAATGAGTACCATATAAAATTTTTTAAAAACCATTAAAATCAACAATACAAAGCAAGATACTTTTAGTACTAAGCACAGAAGTGAGTCTCTCACTAAAAGCTACTGATTCGTCTTTTACGAGTAGGTGAGAGCAGCACTTGGAAACCATCCAAGATCCTTGCCTTCATCTCACTCAAGCAGAAGAGGTAATTATGGAAGAAACAGAGTAAGAACAAAAGTGATGTAAGAATTAAACATGAAAGTGAGCCCGTCCCCCATAGCCCAAGTGAGGAGACTCCGTCTTGGTTTCCAGTACTTATATCCTTTTTTTGAAAAAGGGCCTAGAACCCAGTCTGGGGCTATAGTCTCCTGGGAGCTGAGGGAACAAAAACATGAGATTTTAGGGGGTGGAGACCCTTTCCAGCTGGGAGTCAACCCTTAGAAGAGAATCTGGTAGAAGGGAGAAGAATGAATTTCTCATATTCTTCCTCTGGCCCCTTGGCCCCTCTCCTCTCTTCCCCCAGGCTTCCTTTCCTAGTTCTGCCTTTGTAGGCCTTCCCGTCTGCCCTTTGTCTACTTCTCCTTATGCCCCTGGGAAGCAGTTCTTGCTTAGAAGAATATTGAGTGATTTTCTGGGGTTCCTTTTAATTACAAACAAATCTATAATTAAGGACAACTCAAACTCAGCAAATTTCTGAACATTCCAGCTTGCTTTTTCTTATCTGTCCTTTTGTTTATGCGTATGATGCAGGCATTGGTAGATACCTCTTGTCATTCCCAACGATGTGTTTCTGCATCATGCATGGGGTGGTCTTTTTGATACTGTAAATTCAGTTCACTGATGTAGCTAAATAGTGAAAAAGGTTTTTGGAGAAAAGGAAACGGATTTTGCCAGACAAATTTTAAAGAGTTACAGTCCTACCTGTTAGGTTTTTAAAAAGAGGTAACCGATTAAGAACTGCACCAGGCACACACGTGGTATTCAGGTAAGGGGTAGGTTTATTCAGTAGACCTGCTGGGACCAGGCAAGGTTGGCATTCCACGTGGCTGGGAAAGGCCTGGGAATGAGAGAGAGTTGGGAAGAGAGGAAAGAGAGAGAAAAGAGCCAGAAAAGAGCAGAGAGAGGGGTAAGAACAGTAGCACTCACGTGGTATTCAGGTAAGGGGTAGACCTGCTGGGACCAGGCAAGGTTTGCACTCCACGTGGCTGGGAAAGAGAGCAAGAAAAGAACAGAGAGAGCAAGAAAAGAGCAGCAAGAGAGTGAGTGAGAGCAGAAAAGAAGAGCAAGAGCAAGCGAGAGAGTGAGAGCAGAAAAGAAGAGCCAGAGAACGTCCGGGCCTGGGCTAGGCCTTATCTAGGGTATGGGCGGGGAAAGGTGTGGCCACATCAAATTCGGATGTGACCTCAGCGGATGCAGATGTGACCTCTTCCAGGTGTCCCAGTTGCCTAGGTAACGCAGGTACTGGGTGGAGACTTTGCTGCGAGGAGGGTGGAGTCTGCTGGCCATCCAGGAGCGGACCTTACACTACCACTATCTCAAAAAACAAAAAAGGTACTTTGAGGCAGGGAGTCTTTAAAGGACAGCCCAGCAGAATAGGCTTTGGGATGTTTGGGGCATGGTGGATGTGGGTTTGCCTATGTGCTGGACACATGCTGGATTGTGATAGTTTGAACCAAGGGCTGCAAGGCAGGCATTGTGTTGTCTGAGCCACAGCACCAGCCAGCTGGCACTGGTTATTTTCAAAGAAAGGTCTCACTTTGTGCCATCTTGTGTCATGAACCTACTTGTGCTTCCCCCACAGCTGAAATAACAGGTGTGTACTACCACACTCAGACTTTTTTTGGTTAGGCTAGCCTCAAACTATGATCTGATCTCTGCTTCCAAGCAGCTAAGATTACAGGCTTGAGCCACCACTCCTACCTTGCAAACATTTGTTCTTTTGGAGATCCTGGGATTTGAACTCAGGGCCTCCTGCTTGTCCAACTTGAGCTATGACAAACAGCCCAGCTTTTTGCTTGTTATTTTGGAGACAGGTCTTGTGGACTTTTCTTCCTGGGTTGCCTTTGAACCTCCAGATCTGTCTTCTGAATAGCTAAGTTTAGGTTTACTGGAGGAGCCCTAGCATCTGGCTGCAAAAGACATTGTTTCCTCAAAAGGAGAAGTCCAAGGAACAGGAATTTAAAACTTGCATAAGTGAAAGCAGGCTGGTAAAAATGAGTCAGTTGAGTTAAAACTACCAGTTGTGAGCATATTTTGTTGTCTATTCCATGTTGACTTAGGAGATTTAATGAATTTGGAGTTCAGATGCAAAGTAGGTTTAAAAAGCTGTTCGCTCCCTAAATCCACTTTCAATGCAATATAATCATAATTCTTTAAGTTTTCCTTGTAACTTTCATTTTTCTACATGGTCCATATTGAGTTCATTAACCAATTTCCCTAAATTCTGATTGAGAAAAATTAGCACTCATTGGCTTTCCCAATTATATATATGCCTTTCTTCCTATACATTTTACGTTTTGAGGTTCCTGCAATAATTCTGTGAAATTTGTGTTTTTAGATTCTGCCATGATTACTCCCATTAATTACAAGTATTAAATACATTAAATGCTAAAACTAACCATGAAACTCCATAGTGGCAGCGAACGGCCTACAGCAGGAAGTATTCTGGCTACAACAGGAACTGTAGAAGTGATCAACATGTAATCAGAGCTACTCAGGATGTGAGATCTGAGGATCACTGTTCAAAGCCAGCCTTGGCAGGAAAGTGTGGAACTCATCTCCAGTTTACCACCAGGAAACCAGTAGTTCATGGCTCAAAGTAGCAGAGCACTAATCTTGAATGAAAAAGCTCAGGTAAACAGTCATTGTGGCTGGCACAAGGATCTTATTTGGACATATATGAGGTTAAAAAAAAAGTTAAATGATTGGTCTTAAATTTTAGGTGAACCCATACTTTTTTTGGGGGGGGTGGTCATGGGGCTTGAACTCTGCATCTGGGGCGCTGACTCTCAGCTCTTCAGCTCAAGGTCAGCACTCTACCACTTGAGCCACAGAGCTACTTCCTGTGTTCCGGTGGTTAACTGTAGATAAGAGTCTTGTGGACTTTCCTGATTGGCTGGCTTTGAATAGCAATCCACATATCTCAGCCTCCTGAGTAGCTAGGATTACAGTCATGAGCCACCAGTGTCCACCTCATACATTTTTATTAGCTTGAGGTACTTGTTAGCTTTAAAAAACAAAAAAATCAAGGATTTGCCACGTTAGGCTAAGTTTCCCCCCAAGTCCATGTTGACATTGTCTCCAGGGTAGTGTTTTTGAAAGGTGGTAGATAGAACCTTTAGGAGGTACAGCCTACATAGAGGTTCTTAGGTCATTTGAGCCGTGCTGGCAAGTCTTGTGTCCCTCTTCTGCTTTCTGGCTGATGAGAGAAACTTGCTCCAGCATGCATCCATGATGTATTACCATGCCACAGACCCAAAGCAGTCATGATTGATGGACTGAACCTCCAAAACTACAGGACCTTTTAGGTTAATTCTTACAAGTGTTTTGTTGTTGCGATGGGAAGCTAATACAGAGTAAGTGGGGGAAACGAGGCAAAAATAAGGATTTGTATTCGGATATAATTTTGAGATGTCTTGTCATCCAAGGGGAGATGTCATCCAGACATACTAGATGAGATCTTTAAAAAAACAAACTAGGCATTTAAGTAATTAAGGAGCCTAAGTTCAGTCTCTAAATGGGGCCAGCAGCAAGAGGTTGGTACCTCAGAAGCAGCAGCTAACACATAGATTTTCTTAATATTGTAAAATTCCTTGGTGACTTTGCAAATAAATGGACTAAAGACAAAACCAAAAGGAGTCACTTACAGAATAACCAAGCATCTAAACACTAATCCTAGAAAAGCCATGCCACGTTTTCATGCGGACATCAGAGCAAAACCTCTATCGACAAATTTAACCAGAAAACTGAAAGTTTAGACTTAGCTCTTAATTTATAATCTGTTCAAAGGCAGAAATCATATAACCAGGATAAAACAAAATAAATATTCAAGACAATAGACCTGATCTTGAAGGAGGGGTGGGGAAAATGCTGGTACCGCACACAGGAAAATGTGAATATGGATCTGATGTTAGAGAAATAATAGTATTGGAGTTATATAAAAGTTTACTTAAGACAATGTCAAAGTGGACTTTCTTTGGGATTTTCTTTTGTGTCACTGAGCAGTTGCTTTTTCCTGTACTTAGGTTCACATTCTTCCTCTGTTCTAAAACTTTGACATCTAACCTTGACAATCATAGTATGTTTTATTTTCCCGAAGGGGCAGATAACATAAACAAGTTTACTATTCCTGGAAGAACGTTCTAAGTTAACATATTAAAAATTAAATTATTTAAAATTACATAAAACAAATACAGTAAAAATAAGTGGATCATTAAAACTGTTCTTTTCAGCTTTTTTGTGAAATTTTCCCTAATAAAGCAAATTGACATGCTGAAGGCTATTTAGGGAACATGGTTGCCACTGGGAGGAAGGGGGGCGATGGTACAACTGAAATCTAATAACTAAGGCAAGATACTGGTAAGCTTTTAACCCTCAGCACATAAGTCGTTCCCCACCACCCTGCCTACCCCAATCAATGATCTGGCCCAAAGTGCTAGTACTGTTGACAGACTGACAATCTCTTATCCAACTACCTCTAAAAGCAGATTTTTCTACCCTGTGTGGTAACCAATATTCTCAAATACTAATAGACTGAAAAACAGCCTGGGCAAGATGTGCAAAGACTGTGCTACCTTTGGGCTTGTTCTCAACAATGAAATAATTGCCAGTCACCAAGAAAACATACTTTCACTAATTGGGTCAAGTATAAATGTACACATCCCAGCACATTTAGAATTGGAGTAATGAGTGGAAATATATTAGAATTCAATAGAAGCCACTGAAACACCTCCCTCCTTCAGAAAGCTATGTAGCTGTGTTTGGAAACTATGCGTGGAAAGTGAGTTACACTTGCCCAATCATGCTTTCACCTAGTAAGTCCATTTGGAGTGAGAACTAGATTCATTCTATCTACTGACATCTTTGATATAAAGATTCTAACTATGCAGTAAATGATAGAAGAAATTGCAAATTTCATTGTAAATCCTACCAAACAATGAGTTAGTTCACTGATTGCTAGAAACGCTTACATTTAAAACACTGGCTTTATTCAAATACTACCCTCTGTACATTTAAAAAAGACTCAGAACAGAAGTAAATGTTTTATTCTTCCAACTAAATTCCAGTACTACAAGGGCAGTAAAACAATGATACACTTGGGGGTAAGGGGAGGAGATGCAGCAATAAACATTTGTTTAAAAGACTGATAGAATAAATAAAACTACCAAAAAAAATCATATAAACCCATTTTGAAACCCCAGAAAGTCCTGGAATACAGAAATGCCCTCCTTCACAATTTCATAGGAAGCACTGTAGGCTATTTGCTTAATATATTGTCTTCAGATTACATTCTAAATTATTAATAACTGGTTACAGCTTGGTTGTAGTGCACAATTAAAATCACACTAACTTCATCTCAAGTGCCATTCTACAGTTTTATTTACACAACCAGTGAAGGGCATGTTCTAGAATACCAGCTTTAATCCTTTTCAAACACATTACTATAAGAAGCCAATTGTAATGATACAGCAAAATGAGGCCACTGGTATTAATACAGGTAGCAAAGGTCCACATCCAGGTGGTACTGACATCAGGGAAATTTCCAAAACCAGTTGCTGCTGCCTAAGAGTGGTTGCCACTGACGAAAGCTTGAAGAAACCTGTATTCACAGGGGTATATTGCCATTGCTGCATGTCATAATCAGGACCTCCTGCAACAACCAACAAGGAACAAGGCAGCCCACAATTGCAGTGGCGTGATTCATGACACATCTAGAGGAGAAAAGGAAATCAGTGCAAAGAACAGGTCAAAATCCAAACTTCTCTACAGCAAAACTCAAAACCCACCAGGTTTTGCAGTACTGTCCCTAGCTACTTAACTACAAAGATGCCTTGCTTATGCTGCTTACTTCCTCCAGGCTTTTTCTTCCATGACTGTTAAATTCTCTTCTTGTATTTGAAAATATTTCTCCTTAAAGCTACCCTGATTTGCAGAGTACAATTAATTCAAAAGCCAAATACTTACAACTAGCAGGCTGTTCCCCGTATCGTCGCATTATCTGATCGTGCGTAAACTTCACAAATGCATCATATTGTTCTACAAATAAAAGTACATGTCAGCCACATCACTTGCAAAATACCTTCTCTAATAGAGTTGAGCCAGATACACTAAAAATGTAAGGTATATAATGAAATAATTCTAAGCAGGTACCTTAACCATTCCAGTAACCCTGGTAATATGCAAAATGAGTTTTTAGTCAGGATCAGAGACAGTCAATCAACAGAATGGACTTATGATCTAGAGATCTAAGTGGTTTTTAATGGAAAAATACTTTGCCTTAAAATCCCAAAGAAATGTCTATATCCTGAGCTATCTGCAGAGCTCAGTATTGATCTTCATCTAAGTTTCAGTCCAAATCACATAATTTGTATACATGCTGGGTGGCATTTATTTACTAAGGATGAAAAACACAAGGCTTGCAATACAAAGGTTAATCTTTAGCAAGGCACCAGTGGCAAGGCACCTGTAATCCTAGTTACACAAGTGACTCAGATCTGAGGATCCAGGTTCAAAGCCAGCCTGTGAAGGAACGTTTATAAAACTCATCTCCAATTAACCACCAAAAAGCTGGAAGTGGATCTGTGGTTCAGGTGGTAGTGTTAGCAATAAATAGACTGGGGGGAAAAAAGTATCTATGTACTCTGAAAGTTTATTATAAGTAATCTAGGAATGCCAACTTATTCAAGTGCAACAGTCAGAAACTAAATACCTATAATCTTAGCAGATGTTACAAAAAAACATGTAAGGAAGCAAATTCTCTTACCTACATTAACACCTTGTTTTAAATTGTTAAGAATCAAAAACCGCTAGGCACAGTCTTTCATAGCTGTAATCCCAGCTACTAAGAGGCTGAGACCTAGAAGACTACAGTTCGTTGCCAACCCAAGAATAAAGCCTGTGAAAGTCCTCCTCAACCAAACTAGTTGGGCAGGGCACGGTGCACCTGTCATCCCAGCTTAGGTGAAAAGCATATAGGAGGAAACTCAGGGATTAGGGCATGGGGCTGGGCAAAAAGGAAGACTCAATCGGTGCAAAAGAAGGGCTAGAGACATGAGTCAGTAAAAGAACACCTGCCTGGAAAAGTTCAAGCCCTAGTGCCACCTAAAGTGAACAAACAAGAATTAAAAAGCTTATAAAATGACCATATAAAATAATATCTATTGAAATGAACTCCAGGAAATGGGAACAAAACGTTCCTTTTTGCAGTTTTTGTTTTTTAATCTGTCTTTTGGAGGGCAAAAGTGGGGTATAGAAATGGAAAGCCAAAAGGGTAAACAAATACAGCAGTGGTACTCATTAAACACTGTTAAAAAATGAATTCTACAACTTATAGGTGGGGAGGGGAGGGAATAACTGAGGAAAAGGGGTGATACTGTCCAAAAAGAAATGTACTAGCTAGACACAGTAGCTCATGCCTGTAATCCTAGCTACTCAGGAGGCTGAGATCTATAGATCACAGTTCAAAGCCAGCCAGGGGAAGCAAAGTCCATGAGACTCTTTATCCCCAATTAACCACCAGAAAACCATAAGCAGTGCTGTGGCTCAAGTGGTAGAGCACTCACCTTGAGCTGCACTTAGGGTCAGCACCCAGGCCAAGAATTCAAGCCCCTTGACCAACCAAAAACAAAAAAGTACTCTTTACCTGACTTCTGTCACCCCTCTGTACATTATAAGAAAAAAGTGTTGGGACTGGGAACGTGGCTCAGTGGTCGAGCGCTTGCCTTGCATGCATGAGAACCTGGGTTCAATTCCTCAGCACCATATAAGCAAAAAGAAAAAAGCCAGAAGTGGCGCTGTTGTGGCTCAAGTGGTAGAGTGCTAGCCTTGGGCTGAAGAGCTGAGGGACAGTGCCCAGGCCCAGAGTTCAGGCCCTACTACCGGACCAAAAAAAGAAAAGAAAAAAGTGTTGTTTTTTAAAAGCTTACAATAGTTTTATACAATGTCTTATTAAAGGAGGGGGCATCCTGATCCAAATAGCATACATAATTTTACTTACTATACTTAAATTGTAATTTTTAATAAATTCCACAGCTTAATACTCTAAAATGACATACACAGTGACAACAAAGGTATTTCAGATGTCTTCAGTGATGGCAAGGTTATCATGAAAGCCTAAAAACCTACAACTCAGCTGAAATAAACAGCTGAAGTTAATTTTTAGCTAAGGATTATTTACATGAAAAGTCAAATTTCATAATACTGCTATGATCTTACATGAATAACTCTATTCCTAATGTTACTTTTTTCCTAATGTTACTGAGATGAGGTCTGAGGTTAAAGAAAGTTGAAGCTGGGCACCTGTGAATCATGCCTATCATCCTGGCTACTCAGGAGGTTGAGATCTAAGGACCACAGTTCTAAGCTAGCCTGAACAGGAAAGTCTGTGAGACTCTTACCTCCAATTAATCACAGAAAAGGCTGGAAGTGGCACTGTGTCTCAAGTGGTAGAGTAACTGCCTGAGCAAAAAAAAGGAGCTCAGGGACAAGGCCCAGGCACAAGAGTTCAAGTCCCATGACTGGCAAAAAAAATTGATTTTATTAAGCTGAACTCCTCCTCCAATAAGAAACGTGGGAATAATGCTTTAATAAATAATGTATTTCTTAAACTGGGTGTTTGGGACACTAAAATCTCTTACCTGCAAGTTTTGTGTTCAGTATTTCTTCATACTCTTCTCGAACTTTCTCTTCACGTTCTTTCAACAAACGTTCACAGATCATACCAACCTGCCGTAGAGTAAATAAGGGCTGTTCTTTTTTTAATGGTGAAGATGCTGCAGATGAAGTCCCTGTGTATAACATGAACAAAAACAACACCTCATTTAGAACCATGCTATAAATCATTGTCTAAATAAAAGAGGTTCATTTGGATCTTTTCAATGTTAATATAAAATCATTTTCAACATTTCAATTTTTAGTCACAAGATTAACCAGGAGTCCTAAAACAAGTATAGTAAAAATTCTATCAGCCTATGGCTCTGGAACATAGTAAGAAGTACTTAAGTTTATAGGGGGAAAATCTGAAGAGGAGTCCCATTACAAAACAGTTGTGTCTATTCTAGCATACTCTTACTATAAAGTTTTAGTGACTAGTTTGCAAGCTTTTCTAGAAAAAAAAAGAAAAGGAACTTTTTTGGTATAAACATTTTATTTAGAACCAGAATAACAAATGATTAGGCTATAAAAATACACTGTTACCTAAAAGCCATACAGAAAATGTCTTACTTCCCAAAAAACTAGTAATTATTTCACTATAATACCTCCCTCATTTCTCCAACCTCTTAATTTTAAAGGGTTTCTTTTCAGAAAAAGTTATTTCTCACTGTTAGATTAAAAAGAAGCCAAGCACTGGTAGCTCATGCCCATAATCCTACCTACTCAGGGACATAAAATCAGAAAAATGCAGTTCAAATCCAGCAGGAGCAGAAAAATGCAAGACTCTGCAATTAACTGGCAAAAAAAAAGCAAGGAGTCAAGTGATAGAGTGCCAGCCATGAGCAAGCCAATAAAGTCTTAAGTCAGTGTAAAGTCTGAGACCACCTCAGTTTTTGGGGAGGAGGAATGGGCACACCCTTTGAAAAAGACACTCAAAAGAATACTCTGGAATCTAGATACCTACTCTTTGCTAAAGAAGCATAATTAATTAATTTTTTTTTTTTTGGGTCCAGTCGTGGGGCCTGAACTCTGGGCCTGGGCACTGTCCCTCAGCTCTTCAGCTCAAGGCTAGCGCTGTACCATTTGAGCCACAGCGCCACTTCTGGCTTTTTTCTTTTTGCTTATGTGGTGCTGAGGAATCAAACCCAGGGCCTCATGCATGCAAGACAAGCGCTCTACCACTGAGCCACCTTCCCAGCCCATAAAGAAGCATAATTAATTCTGAGTTTTAAACAGTGAACACAATTTCCACTAAGGTAATGTAAACTCACCTAGAAAGTAAGTGCTAAGTACTAAGCACTTACTCAAAATGATATACTCCAAACTATAGCAGAATTATAATGTCAGCACACTAAATATCCAAGAGCAAATCTGTACCAATTAGCAATGTGACCTGAGTATGTATCTACTTGAAATTTAGCAATATTACTAATATTACTATTAAAATTATTTTCATGTATACTGCTAGATATTTTTAAAGATATTTATTTTGTAGCAACAATTTTTAAGATATTAAATACAAGTCTATTAAAAGCTTTATGGAGAACAGAATGCTAAGTATATTTAAAAGCTACTTCATGAGCAACAATTCAGAGAAAAGTTTATTTCTTTGATCTCAATGGAGGGAAACAACTGATCATTGTTTATTTTTTGCTTATTTGAATTCTGTATTTTGTAAAAATACATTTTGACAATAAAGACCTAATATTCAACACTTAAAATTTTAATTCAAAATCCTTAAAGACTGCTAGTGTTAATAGCAACCTAGTATTTATCAGATAGTAAGATATTTCAGACAGTCCCATCAACTTCCAAAAACACAATTCCCAGCTTCTTGAGAACATCTGCCACTAATCTTTTTGAGCACTTAGGATTATGATGGCCATCCTTACAATATTGCTGTAAGGACCTTATACACAGAAGCATACACTCATTTGCTATTAACTTCTTTTTGGTGTTTTGGGCTATATATATATGCTGCAGTTACTACCTCTTACTCTTCTCTGTACTAGCTCCTTTATAATCTACATAGCTGGGCACAGTTAACTACTCATTAGAACTGCGTCTGTTAAAAGAATAAAGTGTAGCAGCTTTGTTAAGTTTGCCAGTTAACTGATCTTCAAAGAAATAAACTTACATTAAAAAGATGATGACTGGGCTGGGAAGGTGGCTCAGTGGTAGAGCACTTGCCTTGCATGTATGAGGCCCTGGGTTTGATTCCTCAGCACCACATAAGCAAAAAGAAAAAAGCCGGAAGTGGTGCTATGGCTCAAGTGGTAGAGCGTTAGCCTTGAGCTGAAGAGCTGAGGGACAGCACCCAGGCCCAGAGTTCAGGCCCCACAACCGGACCCCCCCCCCAAAAAAAAGGTAAAAAGACGATGACTTTAATTTCCTACAAATATAGTCAACCTCCCTTTGGCATGTTTTACCTACTCTCATTCCCCAAACTGATAGGAATAGTACAGTAGTTTCGAACAAGTTCATATTCCCTGATCTAATTAATGGCTTTTGAATTTTTTTGTTTTCATTCTGCCAAGTTTTCCTATCCTTGCTAAAGGGAAAGAAATACTACCACAAGACAAACCATATTTGTTATGGACATGTCTAAAGGAGACACTCTTGATGGCTCATTTTTAGTTAATGTTTCAGCTTTCTTATTCAAACGGTATTTCCTGCCTTAAATAGCTTTTTTGAAAAGGTAGGTAAGATTGGATACAAAATCTAAAGATTCACTTTTAGAAATCTAGCCCAATAAGGCAGGTAGTAGGTGTTAAGTATGTATACAGATAATTCTATAAATTCTGTAATACCAGAATTTCTGATTATGAGTAATTACAGGAAATAAAATGGCATCAGTAAACAAGGTATAACTATTCCCAATGAAAGAAGCAAAATCTCATATTGAATGGAGGCTACAAATTATAGTCTTTACACAGTGTCTACTGATTGTCTTTGGTTAGTGGGAATCCAATTAATGACTATTTTGTCCTATTTTTAAGGTATCATACATATATACATATATATAGGGGCTTTGTTTTGTTTTTAATTTTTAATAATAGGAGTTTAAGTGAGTGAAGGTATTTGAATTACACTTGTCCCATACTGTTCTCATTACTTTATTACCTGGTGAAGCTGGTCCATTGAGGAGAAATACATTTGGCTGTGCATCAGAACTACAACCTGGATCTGTCTGCTGGAAACTAGTTTCTAAATGTCTTCTCTTCTGCATACGTTTATACTCTTGTTTTATGTTGTACAGAATTTGTTCTAAAAGAAAAAGAAGTTTAAAATTTAGCAAAGTAAAAACTTTCACATCACCAGTTATTTAGAAGAACCAATATATCCAAAATCATTCCTTCAAATAACATACTAAAACTGACAGTTTATAAGGAATTCTTTTCAGCACAAATGAGGGCAACTCAATCATCTGGGATTCAATTACCCAACAATGACTAGTGTTGAGCAGAGATTAGCAAAAATTTAAGCCTTTTACTCAAAGGCCAGGGAGTCTGAACCAAAACATAAATTTTACTCAGATTCTTAGTTACAATATATATTCATCACATACAAATCTACCAAACAGGTATTTCAAAGTCCATAAATACTTAGAAAAAAAGGATACCAGTAAGAAGTGACTATAGGTCCACCGAATGACAAAGTATTAAGTAAGGCTCTAGAGTTTAATACTAATGGCCATGACTAAATAATAATCCAGGATTAACAGAAAAGCATTCTGAATCTTGAGGGAGAAATTCACAGGAAGTTAATTAGTACATAACAGGTCCTCTCAATAAGACAGAACAACTAGACCGCAGCAATTATCTTTAACCACAACCACTAAAACACCATATCCTTTAAGCCACTATGATTCACTTTGAAAAGATTTCTAAGTCAGAACAGCTACCATTTACTCTCTCTAGAGAAGGCCTGTTGGAGGTGTCCACTCTCCTTTTAGGCTTTCTGACTACCAGTCCCATGCTCTCAAATTGTAAAAGTAGATCCCGAGCCTAATCTAAAGCAAAACCAAACAAAAACAAAAAAGCAGCAATAGGTAATAAAAAGCAATTTACAAATTTAGTATAGTGAGTAATGATGCTTTAAGAACTAAAAAGTTGAAGCAAAAAAAGTATATATATGGTAATAAGCCTTTTAAAAACACTGGTAGGTTTTGCATATCTAAACCTTCACTTGCGTCTTTTCTTATTTTAATTTCCTTGGGGGAATTTTAGAATTCTCAAAGGACTTAACTCCTTCCTTGAAATATTTTAAATATTGCCAACATTGTAAGTGCTGCCAGTTTCATTACTGTAACAGGAGTAAGTTCCAACAGATCAATATGGTCAAGAGCTGGGCTTCAGTGGTTAGCTGCTGGGTAGCTGAGATGTTAGGATCTTAGTTTGGAGCCCTCTGGGTAGACAATTTCTAGTTAACAATAAAAAAAAGCAGGAAATGGATGTGTGGCTCAAGTAAGTGGCAGAGCATCACAAGTCTTGGGTAAAAAACTAAGCAAGAGAATAAAGTCCTCAATTTAAGTCCCAGTACCAAAAAAAAAAAAAAGGTAAAAATATCTATTTTAATTTTGTTATGTTAACAAAACGTGTGTGTGTGTGTGTGTGTGTGTGTGTGTGTGTGTGTATGAATGTGGGTAAAATATAAGAATTATGGGGCTGGGAGGTGGCTCAGTGATAGAGTGCTTGCTTTGCATGCATGAGGCCCTGGGTTCAATTCCTCAGCACCACATAAACAGAAAAAGCTGGAAGTGGCGCTGTGGCTCAAGTGGTGGAGCGCTAGCCTTGATCTGAAGAGCTGAGGGACAGCACCCAGGCCCAGAGTTCAGGCCCCACGACCAGACCCCCCTTCCCCGCCCCCCCCAAAAAGAATTGTTTTGCAATGATTAACTTCAGGAGGACTATGTCAGCTTTAGCTACATTTAATATTTTTTAGAACCTTAATAGCTTAATATGGGTTATAGTTATTTTCCGTTTATGTATAATTCTTTACTTTTTAGTTCATTATTTTAAAACAAACTTACCATTGTGAAATAAAAGTACTGTTTTGGCAGTAATTTATCTTGATATAAATGGATTTAATATTTACAGGTGTGAAATAAAACTTGCAACAAATCTTGTATCAATCAGTACAAGAGCAAATTCATTTTAAAATCTGTAACAGTATCCCATCCCACAAGATTTTAAAGTTTGTTATTTTCTTTTTTCTTCGGTTGTGGGGCTTGAACTCTGAGCCTGGACACTATCCTCCAGCTCTTCAACTCAAGGCAAGCACTCTACCACTTGAGCTACAGCACCACTTCCAGTTTTCTGGTGTTTTATTGGAGGTAAGAGCCTCATGGAGTTTCCTGCCCCGGCTAGCTTTGAACCGTGATCCTCAGATCTCAGCTTCCTGAGTAGCTACGATTACAGGTGTGAGCCGCGAGCCCCCAGCTAAGTTTATGTTATTTTCTACAGCAAGGTTCATTCACCAATTTGCTATTTAAAACTACCAAAATCCTTACTTTAAAATGCCACTCAATCACAGTAAAACTTATTCACAACCAGACTAGGATATACTAGCTCAGAGTAACTTGACATCTGCCTTTTGCTGACCTAAAATATTTAACTTCTTGTTCAGATTTTTTGCTTCCTGCCTCACCAAAATCAATGGAAGCACAATTAAAATAGCAAGCTTGTAAAAAACCTATGATTAAGACAGTTAACACTTTTTAAAATTTACCTTTGTAAAACTCTATACTATCTAATACTTAGACAATACTAACAAAAGAATTCGAAAATATAATAGAGTTCAGACAAGTGAATGCATATGTACAGTCTTGGAAATATAACTTTTGTTACTCCAAAGTCTCCCCCATGCTACTCAGCAGTTAATTCCACCCTATCTCAACTCCATACACATACCTCCGTTTGTGACACATTCCTACTATTACTATAGTTGGCTCTCTGTATCTTTCAGTGCTGAATCTACAGATTCAACTATGAACAAGAATATTTTAACTGAATATGACTGAGTTTTTCATGTATGCTGCATCTACCAGTAAAATTCCCTCCTTTTATTGACTAGTATTATTCATTGCGTTAGACAATTCATTTATTTATCTATCCTATGATTAATATGCAAATATTAGTCTTTGGAAAGACATGTTTTCATTTCTCTTGGATAATACCTAAAAGTGGGATCAGATTCCATTAATCACAAGTGACTGTGTGTTGGTGTGTTGTTGTTTCTGGAGCTGGTCCTAGGGCCTGAACAAAGGTTCAACAAAGCTCAGGATGCTTTCCCTGAGCTTTTTTGCTCAAGACTAGTCTTTTATCATTTAAGCCATAGCTCCACATCCAGCTTTTTTTTGGTACTTAACTGGAGATTAGAGTCTCAGTTTCCTGTATGGGCTGGCTTAAACTGTGATCCTCAGATCTCAGCCTCTGAGTACCTAGGATTATAGGCATGAACCATTAGCGCCCAGCTTACTGACTTTACTTTCTAACAAAGTGCCAAACTTTGTTCCAGAATGATTTTGCCACTTGTCATTTCAACTAGCATAACTGCATGAGAATTCCAGCTGTTCCACACCATTGCCAACACATGATACTGTCAGTTAAAGAGCTGGAGAATTCTGAATTGCCTGTACTGCTTTTCACATTTAATATGATGCAACCAGCTCATCTAAATCACACTGTGCCCTCAAATGTTCAGTACCAGTAACATGTGACCAACACCATGCAGTAAATGGTCCAATTTAACTTGGCCAAGATGGCAGTACATATCACCAGCAGCAAACTACAAGGGTCAAGCCTCAATTTATTTCAGTTCATGGGTATAAACAGTTTATAATCCCAATATTTGATACTCCACAAAAGAGAAAATAGACCATGTGTCCAACATAAACTACCATGTCAGCTGTATATAGGCCTTCTATATATATTAATTTATTCAGTTCATTGTAAGCGAGTTAGAGTTAACCACCTCTCCACAGATTAGCAAATACATTTATATTTCAAGTACTTTATTTCAAGAATAGCTATTTGATAGTGTTGCCAACACAATTTATAGTCCATTAAAGAAGAATAAAACTCAAATAAAGCTTCATGTGCATTATGAGTTGCCTATTCTAGTTTTAACTATGTTCATCATTACACTTGCAAAGCACTTATATGCCTGTCAAGCGAAATCACAAATAGATGTATAAACCTTTTGTAAAATCCTAAAATCTGCATCACTCTTTTACCATTCAATACTAAGGGAAAGTAAGAACAAATTCTGACTCACAGCATTTTTCACTCTCAGATCTAGTAAATGCCATTAAGAATGCTAATAAAAATTTTCCTCTTAGTAGGTCAGAAATACCAGTAAAGCCAGGCACCTGTGGCTCACGCCTGTAATCCTAGCTACTCAGGAGGCTGAGATCTGAGGGTCGTGGTTCAAAGCCAGCTGGGGCAGGAAAGTCCGTGAGACTCTTACCTCCAATAAACCACTAGAAAACCAGAAGTGGCCCTATGGCTCAAGTGGTAGAGCGCTCACCTTGAGCTGAAGAGTGTAGGAACAATGCCCAAGCAGGGAGTTCAAGCCCCACGACAGACCGAAAAAAAAAGAAAAATACTAAGTCAGAACTTACTCTTGCTGAGTGCTGGTGATTCACACCTGTAATCTTAGATACTCAGGAGGCTGAGATCTGAGGACTGTGGTTCAAAGTCAGCCAGAACAGGCAAGTCTGTGAGACTTGTTATCTCCAATAAACTACTAAAAAAAAGCTGAAGTGGAACTGGGACTCAAGTGGCAGCCTTGAGCAAAAAAGCTCAGGAACAGGAACTCACAACTAAGTTCAAGCCCCAGGCCTGGCACAAAAAAAAAAAAAAAAAGGAAGATTCAGTTATGGGATCAAGATAACAGGAATTGGTGAGAGAAATAACTTCAAAACAGCATCAAGCTGCGTCTGAGAATAAGGGGAAGACTGAAACTAGAAGCAACCAAAAGTGTGTTTAAAGGAGAATCACAAACAGAGGATATGAAGTTAGAGATTATGTCAAAGTATACTGAGTCTATAAATCCTGAAACCGACATGTGAAATTGATTTTTTTGCCCCAAATCCATAGTTACAATTTTCCTACTGCCATTATTAGATGAATCACTAGGGTTCAACAGCTTTAAAGCTTATGTATATGATACTCTCTTATATCTCTTTACATTCCATCTATTTCAGTATGGAATAAATTATCTTTGAAAAAAAACAAAGTGAAAGTGCATTTAGACAGAAAACAGGATTTTTTAAATCATGGAAGATCACCATTTCTAGACAGAAACACAAATGACATAAAAAAAAAAACCTGCACACAATTAAGTACAAAAAACCGGCAGCAACCACTGAGAGCAAAAACTAAGAAAGTGTTCCAAACAGAGTAACAGAACACATCTGGAACTATGAACTACACACTAGATGACACCTTGTCTACTTTATGAATTAGAACTCACAATTAGGGACTTCTCCCATCTTCATAACCATCTATTTTTCCAGGATCATGTTTACAAACCAAAACAGTTCTTATGTTCTCCATGAAGAACCCCTGGGAACAAAG